TTTATTAGTCCTTAGCAGTGGTTTTTGTTTTTTCTCTTCGTAGCTTAGAGATGATTCTAAGAATTTATTGTTTATGTAAACTGTACCCCCCAACACAGGGCTCAAACTCATGACCCCAAAATCAAGAGTCACATGTTCTACTGACTAAACCAGCCAACTACCCCTTCTTAGACAGTTTAAAGCATTCTTTTTTATAAGTTTGTGAGCTTGCTTTTAGTGGTGTGACCCTAAATTGACACTCAGTTAATAAGTTCAGTAACTTTGGCTTGACTAATCATCAGCCAAATAGCACCAAACTCAGATTGTCCTCCTTAATGAGTCTTTTTTGGTTGGGAAGACTAACACTTGATTGGCAATGATTATGCTTTTTAGATTATTCAAGTATCAAAAAATATTGAATATTTTCTAATTTCTGAATTATTTTTATATACTTTGGTATTTTATTTTATGGTTTTTTTTTTTTTTTTTGAGAGAGAGAGAGACAGCATGAGCAGGGGAGGGTCGGAGAGAGAGGGAGACACAGAATCAAAAGCAGGCTCCAGGCTCTAAGCTAGCCGCCAGCACAGAGCCCCACAGGGGGCTCGAACCCACGAACCGTGAGACCATGACCTCAGCCAAAGTCTGAGGCTTAACCGACTGAGCCACCCAGGTGCCCTGATACTTTGGTATTTTAGTACAACTCACTCAATTATTGCTTTTCTTTGCAGTATCTATGTTTTTTTAAGTGTTATTTGAGAGAGGGGGTGAGTGTGTGTTCGCATGAGCAAGGGAGGGTCAGAGAGAGGTGGGGACAGGGGTACCTGGGTGGCTTAGTTGGTTAAGCATCCGACTTTCGCTTAGGTCATGATCTCACGGTTCATGGGTTCGAACCCCGCATCGGGCTCTGGCTGACTGCCAGTTCAGAGCCTGGAGCCAATTTCAGAGTCTGTATCTCCCTCTCACTCTGACCCTCCCCTGCTCACGCTGTCTCTCTCTCTCCTAGAAATAAATAAAAAATTAAAAAAAAAAAAGAGAGAGAGGTGGGGACAGAGGATCCAACACGGGCTCCACAATAATAGCAGCGAGCATGCAGGGCTCTACCTCATGAACTGCAAGATCATGACCTGAACCGAAGTTGGATGGTTAACTGACTGAGCCACCCAGGCACCCCACTTTATCTTTTTTACAAGAGGTTTTAAGAGACAAGGACACTTTTGGGGGTGTTCTGCCCATTTTACAACACTTTCTCTGAAAACTGACTCTTATCCTGCCAGGTCTGGTCATTCTTCCCCTTAAAGTTGTGTGTGTCCTACCTGCAGCCCTTAAACCTTTTGGTTACATAAAAATCAGATTAGGGATGAAAAAGAGACTCCAGCTGAAGTATTTGGAACACTCTGGGAATTTAGAATTGGGACAGAATGATGGCTGGTCTTTAAATATTTGCTTGAACTGAAGTGGTGAAGATTTAGAACATGTCTGCAGTTTTCTTCAGCATTGTATATGGAGAAACAGAAAAAAGTTGTCCGCAGAGAGAAACGGTATAAATGGACAGAAACAAAGATGAAAGTCAGGAAGGTACTGTTTGCATTCCTAACAGCTTTCCAGATCCTTATTCCAGTACTGTATGAGGCCTGGTTATTTTTCAGTACTATAGCATACTTCAGTGGTCTTCCAGTAAGTTTCCTTTTTTTGTATAAGCCTGCTCAAGTTAATTCTCTCTCAAAAGAGAATTTTATTACTCTTTTGTTGAACTTCTCTACTAAAGAAAACAAAGCTTAAAGATAAAAGGGGTATATGACTATCCACATGCAGAAAAATGCATCTAGACCCCTCCCTTACACCATACACAGTGGGTCATAGACTTAAGTATAAGAGCTAAAAAAAACACTTGGGAAGTGAAAGGACAACTCGCGGAATGTGAGAAATTATTTACATATTTACATGTTTTATGACCAAGAGGGGCTTTTATCTTGAACACTTAAAAACAGAAACCCCAAAAGCAGCTTTTAGAACTCAATAATAAAAAGAGAACCCAATTTTTATTTTTATTTTATTTTATTTTTTAAAATTTATGTATTGAGGGAGAGAGAGTGGGGGGGGGGCAGAGGGTGGTCAGAGCATCTGAAGTGGGCTCTGCGTTGACAGGCTGACAGCAGTGAGCCGGATATGGAGCTTGAACTCACGAACCGTGAGATCATGACCTGAGCCAAAATTGGACACTTAACCAACTGAGCCCGCTGGGTGCCCCGAAGACAACTCAATTTTGAAATATGCAAAGACTGAATAGATTTTTCCCCAGAGAGAATATACAAATGGCCAGTGTCCAACGTGGCTAGTCGTTAAGGAAATGCAAATCAAAACCACAGTGACTTACCACTTCACATCTACTAGGATGGCTATAATTAAAAGGATAGAAAATTACAAGTGTTGGCAAGGCTGTGGAGAAATTGGAACCAACATACACTGCTGGTGAGAATGTACAGTGGTGTGGCTACTTTGGAAAAGTTTGACCTTGCTTCAGATATTAAATATCAAGTTATTATGGGACCCCACAATTCTGCTCCTAGGCGTATACCCAGATGAACTATGTACACACAGAACTGGAACATTTAAAGCATCATTATTCATAATAGCTAAAAAGTAGAGACAAGCCAAATGTACAGTGGCTGATGCGAAGGTAACCAAAATGAATTCTCTTTGTAAATGGAATATTGGTGAGCCATAAAAAGGAATGAAGTGGTGATACATACTGCCATATGAATGAATCCTAAAACCATACTAAATTAAAGAAGCAAAACACAAGAGACCACACAGTGTATGATTTCACTTATATGAAATGACCAGAATAGGTAAACCCAAAAACAGAAAGGTGAGGAGTAATTCCCAGGGACTGGAGAGAGAGAGGGAGATGGGGAGTTAACATGTAGTTAAGGATTTCATTTTGGGAAAATGGAAATGTCCTAACAGAAGATTGTAGTTAGGGTGTACACTTCTGTGAATATACTAAAATCGATTACATTGTGTACTTTACGTGGATGAGTCGTATGGTATATGAATTCTAACTCAATAAAGGTATTTTTTTTTTTACAAATAGTTTATTGTCAAATTGGTTTCCACATAACACCCAGTGCTCATCCCCACAAGTGCCCTCCTCCATGCCCCTCCCCCCCTCCCCCCCACATCCATCAGTCCTCAGTTTTTGTCAGCATTCAAGAGTCTCTCATGGAATAAAGGTATTTTTAAAAGTAGGTACAAAGTTAATGTTAACTTTGATACAAGCTTCAAAAAAAATAAAATAATCATAAAAAATAAAAATTTGAAAAATAAAGACTTTTACAGAGGTAACTTAGTTGTATCTATTTTTCATAAATTTTATACCTAAATACATTTTTCTTTTTTAATAGTAATATTAAAAATTATAAATAGTATGTGATTTCATTTAAAGATGTGAACAAAATTTAGTACAGATTGTATTTATCAATTTGAGTGACAATATAAGTTGAAATGTGAATTTTTTCTCTAACATATTTCTTTCATTGCCATTATGTGTTTTGGATAAATGGAGACAGTTATAGACAGTTATAGTTGGGCTTAGCATTTGCTAAAGCAAGTAAACATAGGTATTCAGTCTATGGTCTTGAACAAATAATTCAGTGGCATAGAGCATTGGTTTCAAAAACTTTAAAATGAGGATCATGTTGGGCTAAAAAAATTTTTTTCTACTATTTATTGTAGTCCGAGAGATTTTCCTAAGAAAAACGTACAGGTATATTCACAGGTGTTTTACTATGTCTACATGACACATGTCCACACATGTCCAAAATGTCTAATCCTTAGTATTACATTGAGAAAATAGGTTCTCAATCTATACTGTTTAAAGGAATTGTAATTTTAATAACATTATTGGTGCTATTAAAGTAGTACATGATCAAAGTCACTGAAATATTAACAGAAAGGCCTATGTTAACTTTATTCGTGATATATTTCTTTTGCCTGTTTAAAATTGTCTTTGATTTTGACTTTTTAGATATTATTGTATGTGAACATTGTGTTAATTCCAAGTTAGCATATTCCGCTATAATTTGTTTTTAAAAAGGTATCAACTGTAGGGACACCTGGGTGGCTCAGTTGGTTGAGTGTATGACTCTTGATTTGGGCTCAGATTGTAATCTCACGGTTCATTAGCATCCAGCTCTGTGCTTTGATCATGGAGTTGAATTGGATTCTCTCTCTGTCTCTCTCTCTCTCAAGATAAATAAAGATATTTTTTAAGTTAAATAAAATATGTCTATCAGCTGTATGTTGCAATTTTTTACCTTTTTATTTTTTTAATGTTTACTTTTTTACTTTTTATCACATTTATTAACTTTTTGAGAGACAGAGACAGTGTGAGTGGGGGAGGAGCAGAGAGCGAGGAAGACAGAGAATCCGAAGCAGGCTCCAGGCTCTTAGCTGTCAGCACAGAGCCCAACGCGGGGCTCGAAGTCACAGACAGTGAGATCATGACCTGAGCCAAGTCAGATGCTCAACTCAGGTGCCCCAATTTAATGTTTACTTTTGAGGGAGAGAGAGTGAGCATGAGTGGGGGAGGGGCAGAGAGAGGAGACAGAATTTGAAGCAGGCTCCATGCTGTCAACACAAAGCCCAACAGGCTTGAACCCATGAACTGTGAGATCATGACCTGAGCTGAAATTGGACACTCAAGTGCCTGAGCCACCCAGGTGCCCATTTTTCTAGTTTGTTTTTTTGGGGAAAAATGTATGTATATATACATCATATAAAATGTATATATGATGTATGTGTAAATGTGTGTGTGTGTATATATGTATGCATATCTTATGCTCTGGTAACAGGTTGATTTTAGAGAAATCTGCTATAATTACATCCAGTCTCCAGACTGAGTTATTTAATGGCTTGATATGTGGTAAATACATTTTTATATTGCAGTTAGGGATAGATTTCAATTTTTTTAAGCTTGATAGCTGCATGATCTTAATATACTAGCTTTTTCTTATTTGCAGAGATCCTGCATATTTTGATGAAAATTGGCTGAACAGAATCAAAACCGAAGTAGGAGATAATTGGAGGCTAAAGGTATTTTCTTTTTATTTTCCCATCTGTTAGTCTTTTAGTAGTAGTATGTATATAATACTTGTTGGAATTTTATCTGCTGTGTTCAGTGAGCTTTAGAAACCTAGACAGCCTGTAGTGAAATAATCCAGAATTAAAGATTAGAGGTAACCTGACATTACTCACAAAGATAATATGGTGTGAGTCAGTAAAGCACGGTGACTAATGGCATGGGTTTTAGAGCCAGAGCGCCTGTATTCATATTATAACTTTACATTTACTGTCTGGGGAAGTCTTCTAACTGTTCTGTACCTCAGATTCCCTATTTGTAAAATGAGGATTGTAATAGGATCTACCTCACAGAAATAAATGAGTTGGTATACATAAGGTACTTAGGATAGTGCACATGTAATGTTAGTTGCTAGTGTTGTTATTAATAATAAGAAAATATTGATCACAGTTGACTGAGTCCAGAACACTCACAGAATGAGGTGTTTTCATTTTTTTTCCTAGTAGCCTTAAGGTCCAATATTTCTCAAGCTTCTTTGACCAGAATCCACAGTAGGAAATACAGTTCATACTGCAGCCTACTGTCCACTAAATGTATGCATATATAGTTCCCTTAATCTATGCAGTGATGTTTTGATTTTTAAAAATATTAGTTGCAACCCACTAAATTATTTTTTTAACTTTATATTTTGAAATAATTCTAGAGTCACAGAGGATTACAAAAAACAAAGCAGAGAAGTTCTGTGTACCTTTTCACCCAGTTTCCCCAGTGGTTACATCTTGCGTAACTGTAAAACAGTACCAAAACTAAGGAACTGACATTGTTACAATCCATTTCATTCAGCTTTCACCAGTTTCTGTGTTTGTGTACAGTTCTGTGTAGCTCTATCTATCAATATGTGGTTTCCTGTATGATCACAGTGAAGACACAGAGCCGTTCCATTTCTGCAAGCCTTCACGGTGCTGCCTTTATGACCACACCATGCCATATACCCCTCACCCTCTTCCCTGGAAACCACTGATGTCTTCTCCATCTCTATAATTTTGTTACACTAAATTGATTTTTGTAACCCAGTGATGATTCCTACTGGCAATTTGGAAAGCTCTAGACCCATTTCTCTTTGTTATACACAGGTAGAGACTCAGAAATGCAAATGAGTAAGCATCTGAAGCCCCCAGACTTAAGATATGTTAAGCTTAAGATATGTTTTTAGTTCTTTTTTTTTTTTAATTATTTTTTTAACATTCATTTTTGAGAAACAGAGTGAGACAGAGCGTGAGTGGGGGAGGGGCAGAGAGAGAGAAGGAGACAAAGAATTGGAAGCAGGCTTCTGAGCTGTGAGCACAGAGCCGGTCATGGGAACCGTGAGATCATGACCTGAGCTGAAATCAGATGCTTAACCTAAGACTGAGCCTCCCAGGTGCCCCTTTTTTATTTCTTTCATAAAACACATGTTTGATGAATAGTATTTATTCATTGATTGCTTAAATATTGTGTCTGCCAACATTTAATTCCCTTTTTTAAACTACACTAGAGTGAATGGACACTGTTTAAGCCACTGTTTTAATTTCTAAATAATCTTTCAAGAAGAGGCAATTAAATGAATTAATTTTTAATAGTATAACATGTGTAAAGCAATTCTGGATGTTTAAAATAATGCTACTAATCATTTTGTATTTGCTTGCTATCTTGACCAAAGAGGGAGTTGTATACACATTTTGCATGCACAGAACACACCCATAAACACACACACTGTCTTCATCTTTAGTGTAGTTAGTGTGGCAGAGATAGTAATATAGAGAAGGGGGAAAACTTGATTATATTCTTAATATTCAGAACTGGAAATGTTTTGATTTGCATTCCTGTTCTCCATATTTTATCCTGTGTTATATTTCTTCAATTTCAAGGTACCATTGATTAATGATAAGATATATAGCTCTTTTCAATAGGAAGTCAACTACCATATTTTATTATTTTTTAAATGTTTATTTATTTTGAAAGAGAGAAAGAGAACAAGTAGGGAAGGGCAGAGAGAATCACAGCAGGCCCCACCATGCTCAGCGCAGAGCCCGACATGGGGCTCAATGTCATGAACCAGTGAGATCCTGACCTGAGCCGAAATCAAGAGTTGGACACTTAACTGACCGAGCCACCCAGGCGCCCCTTAACTATCATTTTAAATGAACACATTGATTTTTAAGACATGTTAATTTTAAATGTTAAAATATGATAAAAAAATGAACATTCTAAAACAAAGGAAATAAAGTATATTGTATATTTGCCATGTCCCCAAATCTTTCTAGAAATATGAACATATTCATTTTCTTTATAAGTTTTTTTTAGTAAGTTTTCAGTTTATTTTCTCCCTTAGAAATAAATATGATTGCACTGCTATGATTGAGTGTCTGTTACTTTATAGTCATAGGTTCTACTGTCTTCTGTTAGGACACCTTCAGCAACTCACATTGGGTAGGGACAGCTAGGGTGAACAGAATCCTATCATAATACACATTTAACTTAACACAATATCAACTCTGAGATGGGTCAAAAAAAAGGAAAAAAATAACAGCTTAAATAGTGCAGGTGATCACGCCTGTCATTTCATTGAGATAACACATAAACCAGTGAATCCTTATTTTAATTTTTTATTTATTTCTGAGAGAGCGAGAGAAAGAGTGTGAGCAGGAGAGGGTCAGAGGGAGAGGGAGTTACAGAATCTGAAGCAGGCTCCAGGCTCTGAGCTAGTTGTCAGCACAGAGCCCGATGTGGGGCTCAAACCCATGAACCATGAGATCATGACCTGAGCTGAAGTCGGACGCTTAACCGACTGAGCCACCCAGGTGCCCCTGAATCCTTATTTTAGAGTGGCTGAGTGATAGGAAACCTCTTGGTCCCTCACCCTCTCTTGCTTCTAGAGGATGCTCCTTATACCGCAAGTATCTTGCAGTGCTGAGCGTTGTAATAGCATTTCAACATATATTTTTAACCATATGGCTCCTAAATATTTACTTTGGTGCTCAACTAAACCATCAGCAGTCTTCTCTGACAGTGAAGAGAATTTGGAGACTTTAAGAGATTTCCAACCCTGATTTTGCTGTAATTTTTGCTTAATGTTCTAATTTTAGAACTTAACCCCTATGTAAGATGCAACTCCAGTTTTCTAGGGAAGACACTATTAGAGGATGTTTTCAGTAAGGATGGCATATTTTTTTCTTTGAGGAAAATCTGAATACTTTTAATCTCACTGTTAAGTCTTGTTCAATTACCCTCCGGTTTCTGTCAGTGTGATCATAACATTGAAAATTTAACCTGGCTGGAAACTTTATTTTTTATTATAAATCACTTGAGGTCACATAAATTAAGCCATTGATAGTCCTTTTTTGATGATTATGGTAATTCACATATGCTGTTGAGTTTTATTTTTTATATTTGTGATTAACTAGAATGATTAGTTGGTTCAGAAATTTTTTATGTTAAATTATATTTTGATCTATGCTTGACTTTTACCCAGTTGTTTTATCTCTCTCTAAACAGATTAGCAATTTAAAGAAAATTTTGAAAGGAATCCTGGATTACAATCATGAGGTAAGAACTTTTTTCTCATTCTGCTTAGAAATATTACTATAGGATAATTTAATTTTAGAATATTTTATAGTAGTTGCAAGTAAAATTCAAGTAGTTTCAATTTCCAAGTAGTTTCAAGTAAAAGGAAAATTTACCTCAAAATTAATAAGCAGTTTATCTTCCATTGTTTTAGGATGTTGGTTCAAACAACTATCTATTAGGTGGTTACTAAATAGAGGCTCTTTTTCAATGTAATGTGGATAGTTTGTAGATGATTATTAATGTTACACTTTACTTTCTGCCATGTATTAACTCTCTCCTCTTCTCCCCTTGTGAAAGTAGTTTAGAATCCACACATTATTATAGCCAACTCCTTTGCTTACATTAGTTTTATTCCATGGCAAACCTCTATCCGTAGATTAACTCAGTTTATCCTCTGAGTCTGCATCAGAATAGTCAAGGCATTGCTTAGGGAAAAAAATCAGGCAGTGGAACAAGTTTTGCTTTAAATTTCATGATCACAGATATCAAATGAACACAACAAAACCTAGATGCTTATGTTATTTTCTAACTGTTTTATCCCCACGAGCTTACCTGCATTTATACCTACATCTATGCTTGTATCATTTATCTTCACAACTCAGCCATCCACCTTCTATTCAAGCCCAAAGCCTATAAGTCATCCTGTAGTCCTTCCTTCTTTTGATATTGTCATAAGACCTAAATCTCCAAAATAAAGCTTTTTCCTTCTTTACTGCTACTACTTTATACCATGCCATCATTAGCTCTTGCTTAGATTTCTAGAGTAGTCTGACTGGTAACCCTGATTTCACTCTTGCCTCTGTTTTTATTCTTCACTCTAAAGCCAAAATGATTTTTAAAAATATAAATTTGGTTATGTAATTCTTCTCAAATTTTTCATGGTTTCCTATTGAGAATCAAGTTCATAGCTATTACTATGAGCCACTAGATACTGTACTTCTTGCCCTGCTCACCCATAACACTAGTTGCCATATTTATCCTGCTTGTGTGCTTTTAGGATTTTCTTTATTCACTGTAGGGTTATTAGACAGGAACCTACCCATTTGTCTGCATATATTTTATTTCATTTGGGGCCAATTTCCCTGTAAAAGAATCCTCCTTTTCCTTCCTGATACAGGTATTTGGCTATCAGCATTTTGGAGTTAAATGACAGGAAATATAGGCATGAACCTATATTGAATCTCCATTCCTTCTGGTGCCCCCTTGTTCAGAACCTCTTTGGCTCTACTTTGAACTTTAGAGAATTTTTCTTTTGGGAGCTGGTGAAAGGATCAAAGTATTCAGTTTCCTTTCTCAGTGTTCATACTACATACCAGATTGGGACTAAGTTTCTGTGATCAAGATCATTATAACTTAGGTATGGGAGGTAAAAATAGAAATTGATGTAACAGCTCTGCCTTTAGCAATGAGTTTATGGTGCTGATGGGCTAATTTGTATCAAATATTTTATTTGGACACATAACTGCAAATGCAGTTCTAATCCTTATGTCTCTATTCAGATTTTAGGACAGCAGATTAATGACTTTACCCTTCCCGATGTGAACCTCATTGGGGAACATTCTGATGCCGCAGAGCTTGGAAGGATGCTTCAACTCATCTTAGGCTGTGCTGTGAACTGTGAACAGAAGCAAGGTAATTTATTTGATGTCAGGGTATGCATTTAAAATAATTCAGGAAAGTAACACATATTGGATAGATTCTATATAAATCACTAGTACAGACCATAACATCTTCATAAGGCCATCTTCAATACCATTTTCTATGATTTTGCTAGTACTTTGTTTGCAAGCTTAAAAGAGTTTTGCAGCTTAAAATAAATTTGATGGTGATGATTCTTTCCTTTCTGCACTACAATTTTTTTTTAATTTTTTAAAAATGTTTATTTATTTTTGAGGCAGAAAGAGACAGAGGGGAAGTGGGAGAGGGGCAGAGAGAGAGGGAGACACAGAACTTGAAGGCAGACTCCAGACTCTGAGCACAGGGCCAGATGTGGGGCTGGAACCCACAAGTTGTGAGATCATGACTTGAGCTGAAGTCAGACGCTTAACAGACTGAGCCAGCCAGGCGACCCTGCACTATACTTTTAACTACACTGAATATGATGAAATTTACTGTTCATTGGAGAAGATCCAGCTAAATTAATCTCAGTAATAATGATAATGTTATACTGGATCAGTTTAGCTCCAGGAACTTAAAATTGGATACTAAAGATTGCCAGTGTGAAGGATTTATTTCACAAATATTTACTGAACTCCTGCATCATACTGGGGCTAGGAGCACAGAGCCAGACAGAGCAGACACGGTACCTTCCCACGTGGAACAGGTTGGTGAGTGGAGGGAGGGCAGGAAGCAGTGCCACACATAATAGCTGCGTGGTCTGAATGGGAATGAGTGCTGTGAAGATAAAGTGTAACAGAGGCCAGTCCACATGTGGCCCAGGGAAGTTATTTAGGCAAAGGTGTGAAGATGGATGGATTAAGAGTAATCTGAGTAGTAGAAACTGAATGTCAGAAGGACTTAGTTACTTTTGAGAGACCAAAAAGCCCACCACTATGATTAGAGAGTAGTAAGGAAGGGATGAGGGGTGATGAAATAGAAGAAAGGTACATAGGGAATACTTGAAACAATGAGGGCCAGCATTTTACTGTTACTGTATGAGCTTCATAGAAGATAGAGGTTTTTTTTCTTTTTGAGCCCAAAGATTTTTTTTTTCTTATTCCTTCTACCTCACTCCTGGTAATGCAAAACAGATTTTTATTTAACTTGTGTATACATTTTCGGTGTTCTAGTGTGATAAATTTAATAGCTGCCAATATTGTTTTCTTCAAACTGTGACTAGTTGTATTGGTCTGTGATCCAGGAATTTTTTCTAACAGTATATTTATTTCTCTTTGTCCCCATTCCTGTTAGATTTTAGTATGCCTGCTCTTATAGTAAGTTTTAGTTTTTTATTCAGTTTACTCAGCAATTAAGATGGAGAACTTTCTACATTTGTGATTTTTATATATTACTAAAATGTCTAAAAGTGTTTTTGCCAGAGATTAGAAGATTGCTATAAATAAGATTCCAGACACATTAAATCTCTAAGTAGATGCTTTGATTTTAAAAGGTGTATGAAAATTATTTAATACAGTTTACCAAATTCAGATAATGATCTCTTATGTGCTTATTCTGTTAGGGGATTCACTTACACTTGGGAGTATATACCTGTTAAGAGTTGACCAATTGTATTTACCACAGGGTAGAAACAGGAAAAGATAAGGATGTTGCCTATATCCATAGTCCTCTGGAAAGCAGACAATTGTGATATTTATCCAGATTCTCACACAGACCAAGTGTCCTGTGTAACATCTAGATTCAGATTTTCCCTTGACATTGTGTAAGAATGATGAAACTTTGAACAGGATTTTAACATCTTATTTATCCAGAGGGCATTCCCTGTTTTCAGAAACATTGTTGAGAACCAAGAATCAAAGTAAATGAATTTCCGAGTTCAGTGTTTTCAGGATAATGGAGGCTTACTAAAGCGGCTCTGCCATTTACTACCTGACTGACATGGGTCTAGGTACTCAGCCTGTTTCCACATCTACAGAATGAAGATACAAAATCTGATAGTCATGAGGAGTAAATGAAATTGTATATGCATGTTTACTTTGTAATCCATAAAGCGCTATGCAAGCCTTTATGTTTAGATGAGTTTTTCGGTTACTAAAAGTAAGGAGCAATTACTCAGAACATTGACTTAGCATACATTTATCTTGGACATTTGTCTTCTCAAATCAGGGCAAATAAATGGTGGTAAAATTGAAAAGGCAAATATTAGTACTATAAAATATACTAATAATAATTACTGAGTGTCTGTCTTCTACCTGGTACTTAATTAGGTACTAATAGAACAAAAAAATACTTTGTACACATGAGGAAAACTAAGTATTACATGACTTGCCCAAGATTTCTGGTTTGTGAGAGGCTATGCAAGGACAATAACCCATGTCTCTCCATGTTTAAACTTCATGCTCCTCATCATACTCAACTGCTGTAAATTTCGGCCCCAAAAAAGCTAAGTTTTCAGGATAAATTCCCTGACCTGTCCCACCTCGTTCTTCAACATTGCCTCATAGATCTGCACCCAATAATCATATATATTTATATTTTGGACACAAGATCTGTAATTTTTTTCTTTTCAAAAATTGTACATTAATGTAGTTGTCATCATCATTTTATCATGTAGTATTTTACGGTGTTCGCGGGGAAGGGCCTTGACGTGGCAACACCGCTTCTTAACTAACGCTTCCCCTCTCACACCTTACTAATAACTTCCTTACCTCCTCGTTCCCACTGTTAGTTTTCTTCACTTCTTATAGGCTGTCATTAATTAATGTTTCCTTCCCCATTATCAGTGCCACTGCTTTTTCTTTTCCATGTTCACAGTCTTTTATTTTGAGGGCTGTTTGTTTAGTCATCCTAGCTGTGCCATTTTCTCCATAGCCCTGGAATTCTGCGAGTAGTACCTTTGAACAGAACATCTACAAGCACTCCTTTGCATTCTAACACTTAGAGGATGCTCCTCATTAACAAAACAGAACAGGAAACCAAGCTGAGACTAAAGAATTTTTTTTTTTCCAAATAGTGGTTCTGATATATACCTACTATTGTCCTAAGAAAATACCTATGATTGAAGTGTGTTAAGTGTGTTTGTGTCACCACGCATTTGATTGGGTACAAGTATCCTAAGAACACTTGCTTAAAAACATGTTTTTTATGAACTAAAAACTTTGTCATCAATAACCAGGATGTCAGAATGTCACAATTTAGTAGTGCTGTCAAAATACTTTGTTTTGTTTTGTTTTTAATGAGTTGTCTGTCACACAAAGCTTTATACAACTTGTCATACCAAATACACGAGTCTCGTAAGTTCATGCTAACAGTTTCACAGTAAGACTCCATCATGTAATGCTTGAAGTGCTGAGACAAGTTTTTGGTGTACGTATGGGGAGGATTTTTGGATGTGTACGGAGAGAGGCAGGTTGAGACTAAAATTTCCTAGTTATCTTTTTAAATGATTCTTATTAAAATGTATTTACAGTATTTGTTAGAACCCACCTTGCCCGTTGATTTTCTTTTACACTTAATGCCACTTTTTCCATTCATTGTTGGATTTGCAAATAAGGAAGAGTACTCCTAGGGCAGTTTTTAGGAGACAAATAATTTTTTTCAGCTTTGTCATTCCTGACAGCTACGAGATCCTTTTCTTTTTTGGCAGCTGCGAGGGTAAGATTAATAAAGTTGGTACTTTAGCTTATTAGAGATGTGTATATTTTAAAGTCCAGGGTTAGGCAATATTTGTTTTTTTATGGTGTCAGTTTCTATCTTAATTTCATCTTAATTTATTGTCCTAAGCAACTCTCAGGTTTATTAAGATTTTTCTATTCTATAGTAGAAAATATTAAGGTAGAAATTGTACACAGTGCAGTGTTTTGTCACACAAGAATAAGGCACAGACTTTAGAGCTTTTTTGAACCTGTAACAGAGTATAATGTGAAAGACAGATTTCTAAATTTTAGGAATAGTAATAAGGAGTTCTTTCCTTCCTGGCTTTAGGCTTTACCAATTCATTGTCTTACATTCCTGAGGTACCTTATTCCTGTAACCTTTAGCTGTAGCCTTAACTTTGTAAGTAATGGTGGGGGGCAGGGGGAGGGTTATCTTAAGGAAAGAACTGCTGTAAATTTTAGCCTCTATTTTACCTGTGGTGCATATATTTAACCACATATGAAGAATTCCTGGGAACAGTCAATAACACAAGAGACTACTTACAAGAATTCATGAAGTGTGAGCCTTTTACTCCCTTGAGTATTTTTTAACTTGAACAGTGACATTCCAGATTATTCTTGTTTTCAGAGTACATCCAAGCCATTATGATGATGGAGGAATCTGTTCAACATGTTGTTATGACAGCCATTCAAGAGGTACGTTGGAACTTTCTTCGAACTATGTGTGAGAAAGTAAAGAAGCAATCAGGAATATAAACAGCAGAAATAGAAATTTTTAAAAAAGATTCTCCTCATTTCTTTGAGAATTTTTTCTTTACACTTCCAATATAGTTTGTCTCATTTTTTAAAAGAAATCATACATTTAAATTTCTCATTTTTATTTAAATCCTAAACATTTATCTTGTAGTTATAGATATTCAGTGACTATTCTAATTTTTAAAAATGCTCTAATGAACTAGGAATAGTAGACTAATTCCTAAAGGTATTATAAATATTTATCTTTAAACCAGCAGTGTACCTCATAATTATTAGTTTCTTGTTTGGCAGAAAATGGGTCCTCAATTCCAGCCATACCCAAAGCACTTTCTAGATGAATATTTATCCTGAAACTGTAGGAAAAAGATATTTTTCCTCTACCCATCCAAATGTTCAGCCAGGACCTCTATTAACAAAGGACAGGTTAACAAGAAAATGGATACTAATGTATTTAATGGATGTTTTACATGACACTGGAACCTTCTTAAGGAAATGAAGGCTAAAGACTTGTTTAAACTTGAGTGTTCTGGTGCTAGGTTTGATGAAGAGTGAAGAATCATGCAAAAATGCGATAGGAGGAAAAGCTAAGTAACCTGGGGGAAACAGCAAATCCTGTTCGTTCAGAGTCCTTTCAGAATCCCTCTATCTTTGGAGATAAGAATGCTTTTTTCCTCTGAGTATTGGGAGAGCACCTCTCACATGAGGGTTTTATGACCTGCTTCAGGAGAAGGTAGAAAATCTTTCCTGAACCTCCTATTTTCTCAAATTCCTTCAGCTTGAAATATTCAGGATGCAATAGTTTGGGGTAGCATGTCCTCAACTCCATCAAATGTGAAACATAAAACTATAAAAATAAAAATAAAATGTAGATTAATATAACCAGTTGATCTCAGAATGCGGGGATGTTTTTGATCATAAAAGCAGTGGAACAAATTGTTAAGGGTAATAGAAAACAATACAGGACATGAATGTGCAACTGACAGAGAAGAAATAAAACAGACAAACATGAAAAATGCTAAATGCAAATTAAGCAAAGTTGTGGTTTTTAAAAAAAAATGACCAAATTACTGTAAATCTGGAGGTTTCCATTACTCCCTCAGGGTAGTGATTCACAGAACTCAGTAATATACAAAAAAAATAATAATAAATTAAAAAAAAAAAGAACTCAGTAATATACAATGATGACATCAGTATAATAATGATGATAGTATTATTGTAGCAAAAGAATACGAACCAGAACCAACTCCCCTCACCCCCAAAATGCATAGAGTGAGCTCTAGGGGAGTCCCATATGCAAAGCTTCTGTTGTTACCTCTTCATGGAATCAAGTCCTACTACCTGCCCACCCCAACCCCGAGCACATCAAGATGTACTGTCAGCCACAGAAGCTCTCCTGACTTTTCATGTCCAGAGTTTTTATTGGGGTTTCATTATGTAGGAATGATTGATTGGGTTAGTGACGATGAGGTTGAACATAGTTTCTACTCTCCTCCCCACCAGAAGTCAGGCTCATTATCAAGTGATAATCTCATACTTGGCTGTATATCTGCCGTGACCAGCCCCCAGAGGGAGTCCTTCATCTTTTTAACTTAAACTATCTAGAGACCTACAGATCATAGATACTCTTTATCAGTTAGGAAATCCCAGAGATTGAGAGGCTACTTGCCAGTAACGGGATAAAGGCCAGCCACATTTCATTATGACACAGGACCTTTCCAAAAAAAAAACAAAGCTTTGTAAAGATGATCACTTTAGCAGTCAGCTCTGATGGTAGGAAGTTAAACTGGTATATCTTAAAATCATTTTATACTTTTTTATATCATATATGATATTAAGTCCTGAGTGTTAAAATATCAAAATGATTATCTTTTTAAAAATTTTTTTAGGGGCACCTGGGTGGCTTAGTCGGTTAAGTGTCCGACTTTCGCTTAGGTCATGATCTCGCGGTTCGTGGGTTCGAGCCCCACATTGGGCTCTGTGCTGACTGCCAGCTCAGAGCCTGGAGCCTGTTTCAGTCTGTGACCCCGTCTCTCTCCGACCCTTCCCTGCTCACGCTGTCTCTCTCTCTCTCTCCTAGAAATAAATAAAACATTAAAAAAAAAAAAATTTTTTTTTTTAATGTTTTTTCATCTTTGAGAGAGACTGAGCGTGAATTGGGGGAGGGGCAGAGAGAGAGAGAGGGAGAAACAGAATCTGAAGCAGGCTCCAGGCTCTGAGCACTCAGCACAGACCCTGACGTGGGACTCAAACCCACAAACCGCAAGATCATGACCTGAACTGAAGTCAGACACTTAAATGACTGAGCCACCCAGGCATCCCTCAAAATGATTATCTCTTAAGCAAGATAGAAGATTTTGCTCTCGCGACGCAGGGGTGGCTTAGTCGGTTAAGCGTCCGACTTTCGCTTAGGTCATGATCTCGCGGTTTGTGGGTTCGAGCCCCGCGTCGGGCTCTGTGCCGACTGCCAGCTCAGAGCCTGGAGCCTGTTTCAGTCTGTGACTCCCTCTCTCTCTGACCCTCCCCTGCTCACGCTGTCTCTCTCTCTCTCTCTCTCTCTCCTAGAAATAAATAAAACATTAAAAAAAAAAGAAGATTTTGCTCTTAAGTGGCCCTGGATTTTGCTCTGTCGTCATCAGGGATCCAGCTTTCTTGTTTCTTATTGTCTGTCATCCTTAATATATGATTCCCAGTTAGTGGTTTATCTTTGGCTTCTCAAGTTCCATCTATCACATTCACATTTCCAACCGTCAGAAAGGATTGAAGGAACGGTTATTCACTTTTTTTTTTTTTTTACAAATAGTTTATTGTCAAATTAGTTTCCACATAACACTCAGTGCTCATCCCCACAAGTGCCCTCCTCCATGCCCATCCCTCCCCCCCCCCGCGTTTATTCACTTTCTAAGTAAACTTTCAGCAATTCCCACTCCTATTAGCCAGATATCACTCACATAGCTACACAGGGAAGCTGGGAAATGTAGTCTTTTTTAATTTTTAGAGAGAGAGAGCGCAGGGGAGGTACAAAGAGAGAAGGAAAGAATCCCAAGCAGGGATTCAGCACTGAGTCCAACATAGGTTTCAGTCTCACGAACCATGAGATCATGAGCTGCGCCGTAATCAGCAGTCACTTGCTCCGCTGACTGAGCCACCCAGGCACCCCTGAAATGTGGTCTTTATTCCAGGTAGTCATAATCCAACCACAATTTAAGGAGTCTATTATTAAGCAAAAATAGAAAAAAGAATAAGGAGCCACTAACAGTTCTGCCTTACAATAATTGACCCTACAGTTCTATTTTTAGGAATTTATCCTAAGGGGATCTGAAATACAGAGATACATAATAGTAATAGCAAACATTCATCTAGCACCTCTTATGTGCAAGATAGTGCTGGTACTTACTAAACACAGTACATCTTTAACTCTTTTAAAATTATAATTAATACAAAATAAATAAAATTATAATTAATACTACTGAAATATACACTTAAAATTTTTAAATGGCAAATTTTATGTTCTATATATCTTACCACAATAAAGATTGAAAAATTAAATGTAATATTTTGAAGTATATACTGTTGTTATCCCCATTTTATAAAAGGAGAAGTGAAGTATAAACCGAGTAACTTGCTCAAGTTCACATACGAAGTGCTGGCTGAGTTAGAACTCAGATCTAAGCAGTCTGAATTCAGAGACTGCACCTAGAACCATTGTGCTATATTGCCTCAAGATTGTTTATTTCAACATTATTTTCTAGCTGAAATGTCACAAATACCCTAACTGCCCAGCAGTAGGGAGACAGATAAGTAAATTTTATGGTAGAATAATATTTTGGTATAATATGTAGCATTGAAGTGTATTTTGAAAAACATATAACAACATGGGTCAGGCTTATCTAGGGAAACAGAGCACATGAGCAATAGAATTCCATTTCGGTTAGAAATTAAGATGAGTGAAAACAAACTTGCAAGAATGTTAACTATCTCCAAATGGTTGGATGCTCTATATTCTTTTCTATATTTGCCAGTTTTTCTATAATAGCAGGCTTGTGTCTATAATCAAATATTTTTAAAATTAAAGTCTATGCCCAAGTGATTTTTAATTCTACAAATCTAGCCCAAGGAATTATTTAGAAATTCAGACCAAAGGGGCCCCTGAGGGGCTCTGCGTTAAGCATCAGACTTTGGCTCAGGTCATGATCTCTCAGCTTATGGGTTCGAGCCCTGCATCGGGCTCTGTGCTGACACCTCAGAGTCTGGAGCCTGTTTCGGATTCAGTGTCTCCCCTTCTGTCTGCTCCTCCGCCGCTCGTGTTTTCTCTGTCTCTCAAAAAATAAACATTAAAAATTTTTTTAAAAAAGAAATTCAGACCAAGTTTGGGTACAACTGTGTTTGTCAAACTAATTTATTTATTTTTTAAGATTTATTTATTTATTTAAGTAATCTCTACACCCAGCATGGGGATTGAACTCCCAACCCCAGGATCAAGAATCAGTGCTCTTCTGACTGAGCCAGCTAGGCACCCGCAAGCTATTTTATATTAATGGAAATATGAAAACAATGCATTCGTTAGTAAGCAAGTGTTTAACTTAGGGTACTTCCATCTCGTGGAATATTATATAACTGATAAAAATTTTAAAAAGTATATTATGACAAAAGGAAAACATTTAAAATCTCAAGTGAACAAAGCAGTATATAAAATTGTACATACAGCTAGATTTTAAAATAGATTACATGTCTTTTATGTGCATATTCCTTTTATTCATTTAGCACATACTGTCTAGCACTTAATATGCACCAGAAGCTATAGTAGGCATTTGGAATACAGTTGTGAAAAAGACAGACACGGCCTCTTGCCCCAGAAAGTCTAAGTCTCGTGGGAGAAATGGCTAACTACTTAAGTAACGTACATTAAAAGCATTCAAAATGAAACTTACCATGATGGGAAAAATATTCAGAGTACCTCAATGAAGTTAGCTAACTCAGTTTGGGGACTTACAGGAAGGTTTCTCAAGGACAGTAGCATCTCATCTGAGCACAGAGTCATGAGATGATGTACGGAAGGGGTAAAAATTGTTCTAAAGTCCAGGGGGCAAGAGAAGCAAGATCTGCATGGAATGTTGGAGGTGCTAAAAGAAGGTGCCTGTGGCAAACATGGTAAGGTAGGAAGTGCTTAGAAATGAAACCAAAAACCTAAGATCATTAGAATATTGAGCAGTTTCATTAGAGAGTTGGGATTTTGGAAACCAATGAATAGATTTTAAAGAGAAAATACATTGAAGTCTGTATTTAAGAAAATCTGTATGATGAGAAGAATGGTTTGGGGGAAAACCAGGTTAGAAAATGGGAAAGAGCAGTTAAGAGACCTTGGTAATTATCCAGCAAAGAATGATGGAAGCCTGAACCAGGTTATGACAGGGTGGAGACAGGTGGACAGATTTGAAAATTCTAAGAGCTTGAATCAGTAGGCTTGGTGATTGATTGGACCTTGGAGGGAGAAGGGGTAGCTGGATAGAATAATAGAAGTAGGAAGGCCTTCTTTTTTTTTTTTTTTTTTGGCACATTCTATTTTTATTTCTTTATTCAAGTACTAATGACTTTGATTTTTTTTTTTTTACCAACGTAAAATACATATAACAAAAATTTGCCATTAGTAACATTTAGCGGGCTCAGAATGTTGTGCAAGCATTATCACTATTTAGTTCCAGAACTTTTCCCATCACCACAAAAGGAAACCTTGCACACCTGTTACACAGGCAGTTCTCATTTCCTCCTTACTCTAGCCCCCATCAACCAGTAATCTGCTTTCTGTCTCTATGAATTCCCCTATTCTGGATATTTCATATAAATGGAAGCATAGGCTATGTGGCCTTTTGTGTCTGGCTTTGTCCATTTAACATAGTATTTTCAAGGTTTTGTTGTAGCATGTATCAATGCTCGTTCCTTTTTATGCTGAATAATCCATTGTATGGATGTGCAACATTTTGTTTATCCATTCAACAGTTGATGAACATTTGGGTTGTTCCTACCTTTTGTCTATTGTGAATAATGCTGCTGTGAATGTTAGTATATGGGTTGTTGTTTTTGAGAGAATGAGAGAGAGAAGTGGGGAGGGGCAAAGGGAGAGGAAGAGAGAGTCTTAAGTGGGCTCTGCGCTGGGCGTGGATGTGGGCTCAGCCTCATCATCATGAGATCATGACCTGAACTGAAATCAAGAGTTGGATGCTTTACCAACTGAGCCACCCAGGCACCCCAGGTTTTTTTGTTTATTTGTTGTTGTTTTAAACACCTATTCTGGGTATGTTAAAATTGAATTGCTCAGTCATATAGTAATTCTCTGTTTAACTTTTTGAGGAACCACCAACTTCTTTTCCATGGGTGTCATAGCATTTTATATTCCCACCAGCAGTGCACTGGGATTCTAGTTTTTCCACCTCTTTGTCAACCCTTTTTGATGTCCATCTTTTTTATAGTAGTCATCCTAGTGGGTGTGAAGTGGTATCTTCTTGCAGCTTATTTGCATTTCCCTAAAGACAAATGATGCTGACCTTCTTCATGCTGCAGAAGACTGCTCATTCTTTGGAGAAATGTAAATAGTGGTCAAGTAAATGATAGCCTTTTAATTCTTTGAATGCTAATTGGAAGAAGCCTCAAGTAAGAGAAGGATAGATGTTGATTTATAAGAGAGAGGGTGATTAATGGTACGGGATCTGTGAGAAACTGGGTCAGGGAGCACAAATGGAGGGATTAGCCTCCTATGGGAAGACCAACACTTGTATTACAAGATTGGAGAAGGAAAGGATGGGCATGAATGTTGCCAATTTTCTGGATTAAGACATGGGAAATTCTTACTTGGAGACAAAGTTTTCTGATGAAGAGTATGGGGGTGATGGTGAGGTTTACGAAGTAGGAAAGGTTTAGAATAATCTGAAGGGAATAAAGAAACTGCTGGCTGGGGAAGCATAACTGTACTTTGGGGACAACTTTGAAGGCCCAGATGAAAGTGGAAACTGTATTAATAGTGTTTTAGGATTAAAAATGTTTTTGTTTACTCTCTCAGTACTTAGCAGTCAGGATTTATGGTCAGAACAGACAGGTATTTGGATTGATTTTAGAGTGAGATTTTGCCAGGAAGAAGGAATGGAGGTAAGAGAATTGATGATATTGACAAAAGTCATCAACATAATAGACGGTGAAAAATCTGGGTTATAAAGAGAAGGTAGTTGGTTAAACAAATGATCAACCGTGGAAGCTGAAGCAGGGGAGGAAGATTTCCCCAAATAAGAGGATGTTAGGAAAAGAAAGAAGAGTAAACGTGATCAGGCAAAAACAATGTTTACTATAAAGTCTAAGCAGAATAAGGAAAAAAGTGATGGGTTCTGACTGGAAACCTGGGAGAAAGGAGGGAGGTATAGGGAGTGCCTGGAAACTTCAGGTGGAGAAGCACGTAAATTAAACATAATTGAATGAGAGAGCAGGGATGACAAAAGGTTGTGTTCAGAGTATAGGAGACCTAGTTTTTATTCAGAGGTGTTGCTGTATTATGAGGAGGACTTACCTGAAATAACAGGAAAAGCAAAAAGACCGGGTGGGGGTAGGGGGTTGGGAGGGAGATAACTCCTAGTATTTCTGCTGCCTGCCTCCGAGCCAGATACCTCCTCTCTGATACTCCACCACAGCCCTTATCACACCGTGCTTGTCTTTCTCACTTGACCTGTGCTACACCCACAGTTGGTAGCTTCTTAAATATTTCAGAATTATAAAAATTGATTATTGGGGTGCCTGAGTGGCTAAGTCGGTTAAGTGTCCGACTTCGGCTCAGGTCGTGATCTCACTCACTGCTCGTGGGTTTGAGCCCCGCGTCGGGCTCTGTGCTGACAGCTCAGAGCCTGGAGCCTGCTTAGGATTCTGTGTCTCCCTCTCTCTCTGTCCCTCCCCACTTGCACTCTCTCTCTCTCTCAAAAAGGAATAGATGTTTAAAAAAAATTTTTTTTAGAAAGGTGATTATTTCTAGATGGTAAAATAATGATTTTTTTCCTTTTTATATTTTTAATGAATTGTATCTTCTCTACCATGGAATTATTTTTTCAATTGGAAGAAGTCTTAAAAATCTGATTTATATTGTCACAATAAAAGCATAAACTTTGAGGCCAGTATTTTTTTACTCCTGAGGTTTTTTCCCCCTGAGTATGCTAAGGAACTTTGAACTTTTCTCATCCCATTAATATGGAACATTGATTCTTAAACTTCATTGTGCATCAGAATCAGCTGGAGGACTTTATTAAACATTTTACTGAACCCTAACCCCAGTTTCTTGAGTCAGTATATTTGGGCTGGGACCAGGTAATTTGCGTTTCTGATGAGTTTCCAGGCAACGCTGATGCTGTTGTTTCGAGAACTTCAGTTTGAGAACTGCTGATGAGAACAAGGTACAGCCGAACACATCATTTCAGGTCTCTCGAGAATGGGGTTGAAGGTTGAAATTATAAGATCTCTCAATAGTGCTTCCCCACATTTCTAATTGTCCCCCATTCTTTTGTCCTTCAGACAGAACATAAGAAGGAAGCAACAGAAAATTAGGACTATTTGGGTTTGACCCTGACTTGTTACAATCAGAATTTTATCTTTTTCTCCCCGAGCCCCTCACACTTTATGGATCTTCTCTGTTTGCAACTCAAGGGTGAGAGGCTAAGGCATAATAGATTTGTGTGCATGTGTCACAAATATCAGCCAGTTCGTTGGGCTTAGATTGATTTCTGTTGATGTTGCCCATATTTATTCTTTAGAAATAGATACTTAGCGTTGCCCTTTTTTATTTTTACTGAAAAGTCAGTTTTAAAATATTTAGCCACTTCTTAAACTAAAAGACCTGCCTTTTTAGTGATAAGAATAGCTGATTCTTATGAATGGGCCTACAGTGAAAATGAGCACCAGAATTTAGACCTATAATTTTATTTTATTTTTTCAAATGTTAATTTATTTTGAGAAAAAGAGAGAGCACACGTGTGCCAGTGTGGGGGGAGGGCCAGAACCGGATTTTGGGCCTCATCCCACAAACCAAGAGGTCCTGACCTGAGCTGAAATCAACCGACTGAGCCACCCACCTGCCCCCTAGACCTGTAATTTTATTTTATTTCATTTTATTTTTAATTTTTTAATGTTTTTTATTTCTGAGAGAGAGAGACAGCATGAGCATGAAGCAGGCTCCAGGCTCTGAGCTAGCTATCAGCACAGAGCCTGACACGGGGCTTGAACCCACGAACCGTAAGATCATGACCTGAGCCGAAGTCGGATGCTTAACTGACTAAGCCACCCAGGTGCCCCTCTAGACCTGTAATTTTAAATGAAAGCATTATTCTCGAATGAAAATATATTCCAGACTGAGAGGTTTTAATGTATAGGAAAATGTTCCTATTACATTTGTATTTTCTTTTTAATGTTTATAATTCTATGGTGATTTGACTGTTCATGTTGTTATGTAAATACATTTTATATGATGTCTTTTGGCCTCATAGTTACAATCATTTAAATCTTAATTGCAGCTGATGAGCAAGGAATCTCCTGTCTCTGCTGGAAATGATGCCTATGTTGACCTTGATCGCCAGGTATCTCATTTTGTATTGTTTTTATCCATGCAGAGATTGAAAAGGATAACATTTATGTAGTAACGAAAAGAATGTTTCATTTGAAATTGCTTACAGAATATATTGGTTTAATTCTCTGTTTTTTACTAAAATTCAAGAACTTTACTAGTGGATATTACACATTAGTAATTAAATTTGTAATTTGTAATTAAAATATTGCATAACCCACTTTAAAATAGATTAAGTCGTAATTCGTGTTTTCTAGCCATGATTTTTCTTTTTCCATTAGTGATGTCTTTCTTCATGCTACATTTAACACAGCAAATGCATTCCTGGAAAATAGCATGCATTTAATCTTATGATTTATTTATAATACAAAATACCTTTTCACATTATTCTTCCTTTATCTTTGTAATAAAGATCATTTACCCTCTGTGAGCAATTGAACAGTCAACAGATACTTAAATGCATTAAGGAACCTACTATGTTTTTAAAGGAACTCTGTGGTGTGTTCTTGTGGTTTTAACCAAAAGTTATTTCATAATTTTAATTCCTACTTTTCAGTAGAATACTGTTGGTTACATTGTCAGCTTCTGTGTTCCAGCTATCCTGGGACATCCGCCCCAAAGTGTGAACAGATATCTTCACATTACCCTCTCTCATTTCTTACCCATGGTTTCTAAGTGCTTTGTAGGAAAATCTTTGAACATGATGTAATTTTAACCCAAGTTGTAATTTGCTTCCCTTATTTTATGATGTTAGGTTTTAAAGGTGTTACCTTTTTTTTAAAGTGTATTTATTTTGAGAGGGAGAGAGAGAACATATGTGTGAACATGTGAGCAGGGGAGGGGCAGAGTGAGAAGGAAAGGGAGAAAATCCCAAAGAGGGGGAGGGGAGAGAGGGAGGCTGGAACTGGAGATCACGGCCTGAGCCTAACTAAATCAAGAGTCTGACTTTTAGGGCGCCTGGGTGGCTCAGTCAGTTAAGCGTCTGACTTCAGCTCAGGTCATGATCTCACAGTTCGTGGGGTCGAGCCTCATATCGGGCTCTGTGCTGACAGCCAGCTCAGAGCCTGGAGCCTGTTTCAGATTCTGTGCCTCCCTCTCTCTCTGACCCTCCCCTGCTCACGCTGTGTCTGTCTCTCTCTCTCAGAAATAAATAAAATATTAAATAAATAAATAAATAAAAGGCAAATCATTAAAAAAAAAAAGCAGCCCAAAGTCTGCCTCTCAAAAGGAGCTGGGCTAGTTTGTCATTTAAAAAAAAAAAAAAAAAAGAGTCTGACTTTTAACAGACTGAGCCACCCAGGCACCCCTAAAGTTGTTACCTTGTATGAATGTTTTTGTATCTATATTACACAGAGGTTTGGTCATATGAAAGGAAAAACCACTAAATTTTTTAACCAATTTTTCTTTTTTTAAATTAAGTAATTTTAATTAATTTGCTCATCCTTTGCTAACTTAAGAGTTTATATACTAATGGAACACAACTCAGAAATGTTTGGTTTGTGTTGGAAATCAGAATAACAATATTTAAAAAAAAACTATGCGAACTAACATAAAGGTTTAATATGACTGAAGAACTTGGGTTGAAATACATTAGCTATATATTTCAACAGTTGAAACCCCTGTCCTCTAACACATGCATATTTTATCAAGGTAAAATTTCTCAGTTTTTACAGAATCAACATTACCAAGAATCATGTAGCCCAGATAGGCAAATGTAAGAAAACTTGATAAGAAGAAAGTACCAGATTCACAGTACAGAAAAGCAAGACTTAGGACTAGAAGATATTCAAAGTGAGAAGTGCCTTCTTTTGACTCTTCAGAAGGTTTTCTCCATTTCTCCCTGCCCCTCAGAAAGAAATGGGAGGGAAGTGTTTTAATTCTTTATTGTACCTGTGTAATTATGAATTGTTGCTACTTCATATTGAAATGTTTATTGTATCTCTTTGTTTCTAACTAGTTGAAGAAAACTACAGAGGAACTAAATGAAGCTTTGTCAGCAAAGGAAGAAATTGCACAGAGGTGCCATGAACTGGATATGCAGGTAAGCAATCTGTTCTGTGTACCACCTATTTGAGATGCACCATTAGAAGTAATGCCAGACATACAGTGTACTACCATGGAGTACAGTTTGCTATAACACAACCCTAATTAAAGAGGAAAAAAAGGGAAAACAGATTTTTGATTAAAGATGGTAGATTAATGAAATATACTAGTTTTCTTTCTTCTTGCAACCCCATTAGATTTATAATAACTAAATGAAAATGGCATAAAGACACAGGAAAAGAAAAGAGGGACATCAGTGCTAGCTTTGGAGGAGTAGAGATTTTTAAAAGCCCTGAGTGTAGACATTCAGCGGCTGTCCGGGGCGACGGGGTCTCCATCCTGGAACCATGGCCCAGTTTGTCCGCAACCTCGCGGAGAAGGCCCCGGCGCTGGTGAACGCTGCTTTGACTTACTCGAAGCCTCGATTGGCCACATTCTGGCACTATGCCAAGGTTGAGCTGGTTCCTCCAACCCCCGCTGAGATCCCTGCAGCTATTCAGAGCTTGAAAACCATCGTCAAGAGCGCTCAGACCGGTAGTTTCAAACAGCTCACAGTGAAGGAAGCTCTGCTGAATGATTTGGTGGCCACTGAGGTGTGGATGTGGTTTTATGTCGGCGAGATCATAGGCAAGCGTGGCATCATTGGCTATGATGTTTGAAGACCAATCTTTAACATCTGTGTATATTTGGTTTGTTACTTGGGTGTTTTCGGACCATGTGTGATCAGACTGATGTTTGAATAAAATAAGATAATGTATCAAAAAAAAAAAAAAAAAAAAAGCCCTGAGTGTAGTGTTTGCCAATATCCGTAGTATAAATACTCTGCTGGCTTCTTGTAGAGCATGTGACTCTTGATCTCAGGGTTGAGTTTGAGCCCCACGTTGGGTGCAAAGATTACTTAAAAATATTTTTTAAAAGGTAATAGGGTAGGTAAATTTCAAGAAATCTCTCACTAATAAAAGGACAGAAAATAAGAAAAGAATTATTTGGGATTTACCTCAAAATGAAGAAGGTTGGGGGCATGGATAAAGGTACAAATAAGACATAATTGACCATATTTTGATGCTTGTTAAAGCTGGGTCATGAATACACATACGTCATAATATTTTATAATAGCATTTTGCTTTGAAAGGCATAGGTGTTGGTCATTGCTTTGGATGCACATAGGAGGAAGTGTAATCATAGCATACGTGTTGGGTTATAAGGTAAATAATATTTATCTGGTCACAGTAACATTAAAGTTATACACTAGGATTGCCAAACTAACACGCTGTCATCTGCTTTTGTAAGTAAAGTTTTAATGTAGCACAGCCTTGCTTTTTCACATCTTGTCTGTGACTGCTTTCATGCTGTAAGGACAGACCTGAGTACTTTTCACAGAGTCCTATGGCTCGCTAAGCCTTCAATATTCACTGCTTGATTCTTTACAGAAGTTTGCCAAACTTGGTATAAACATGTTGCAAAGTGAATGGCAGGTTGCAGAGAGGTTATGAGAAGAGAAGGGGTTGCCCTGTGACACACTTAATTCTGCAGTAACGCACTTGATACTCAGATCTCTAATGTAATCATATAATCCAGTTTCAACATTTAGAATTGTCCTAGAGAGAACTGTTACTGTGAAAGTAGAGGTCCACGTGATAGTAGCTAAGAAGTAAGCTAGGATAGGAGCCATGAGGAGCAAGAAGTCAAGAACCACTTCTGTGGCAGAGCAGCCGTTATATGGCTGACTCCTTCTAGTCATCCAGTCGCAGCTCAAATTTGCCAGATCAGTTTGTCTTAAAATGTGTATCGGGTACTCAGATGTGTCAAGTAGTAAATTGGGTCTCCTGGGAAGGCCTTCCACAGTCCTGTCATCCATGGTCCATATAGTAGGCACATAAGTGAGTGAGTGAATGGGTGGGGGATTGAGTGAAGGGAGTTATTAGGTAGTAGTTGTGTGAAATTGCAGAGGTGACCAGTGAAGGAAACAAGAATAGTGATATAGCTGTTTGTGGAAAGGAAGGATGGCACAAGTTGCTGTAATTTAACTTGTCAGAGAAGAGAGTCACTAGATAATGTCTGATGTTGATAAATCAAGAAACAGAAGTATAAAACATTTAGAGATATAAAATAACAACCCAAGATAGTAAAATTAGGAATAGTTAAAATGAGTTGTCTCTTAGAAGCAGAAGCACTCTGTAGGAGACTGTAGCTTTTTATGATAAGCCCCTTTTGTGTCTGATTTTTTTATTTTTTCTTTTTTTTTCTGTTTGTTTATTTTTGAGAGAGAGAGAGAGGGAGAGACAGAATTTGCGCAGGGGAAGGGCAGAGAGAGAGGGAAACCCAGAATCCAAAGTAAGCTCCAGGCTCTGAGCTGTCAGTGCAGAGCCTGATGCAGGGCTCAAACTCACGAGTCGCGAGATCATTACCTGAGCCGAAGTCAGACGCTTAACCGACTGAGCCACTCAGGTGCCCCTGATTTTCTTTCTTAAATCATGTTTATGCATCATTTGTTATTAAAAGCATAGTTAAGAGTTATTGTTGGCCTTGTTGCATACTGCTGCAATAATGCCTGTATCCCAGTAGAGCAAGTCAAATGAATTATTTGGCTTCCTCATGCGTATAAAAGTCATATTTATACTTTATCATATCGTATTGTATTAAGTATGCAATAGCATTATGTCTAAAAACAAATGTAGGGGCGCCTGGGTGGCTTAGTCAGTTAAGCATCCACTTCGGTTCATGTCATGATCTTGCAGTCTGTGAGTTCAAGCCCTGTGTCAGGCTCTGTGCTGACAGCTCAGAGCCTGGAGCCTGCCTTTAGATTCTGTGTCTCTGCTTCTCTCTGCACCTCGCCTGCTTGTACTCTCTCTCTCTCTTAAAAAGAAACATTAAAAAAAATTTTTTAATAAAAATAAATGTGCACTCTTTTTCTTTCTTTTTCTTTCTTTTTTTTACACTTTAAAGAGACTATTGCTAAACATTGCTAACCATCATCTCTGCTTGTAGCATATAAAAATCTTTTTTGCTGGTGGAGTGTTTTGCCTCAGCCTTTATGACTGCTAACTGATCAGGATGGTGGTTGCTGAAGGCTGGAGTGGCTGTGGCAGTTTGTTAAAATGAAATTTGCTATGTCAGTTGACTCTTCTTTCACAAATGATCTCTCTGTAGCAAGTTATGCTGTTTGATAGCACTTCAGCCACAGTAGAACTTCTTTCAAAATTGGCATCAGTCTTTTCAAACCCTGCTGGCTGCTTTCTCCGCTGTTATGTGACATTTTAAATCCTTTGCTGCCATTTCAACAACCTTCACAGTATCTCCACCCCAGGTCACTTTCTTTGCTTGCCCATATGGAGCCAACTACTCATTTATTACAGTTTTATCTGAGATTGCAGCAGTTCAGTCCCATTTTCAGGCTCCATTTCTTTTTTGGTTAGGTTGGTTGGTTTGGTGTTCTTTGGGTTTTTTTGTTTTTTTGTTTTTTTTTGAGAGAGAGTACGTGTGCAGGGGAAAGGGGCAGAGGGAAATAGAAGGAGAATCTTTTTTTTTTTTTAATTTTAGAGAGAAAAAGAGTGCACAAGTGGGGGAGAGGGGCAGGGAAAGAAAGAGAAAGGGAGAAAATCTTAGAATCTTAAGCAGGCTCCATGCTCAGCAAGGAGCTGGAAGCGGGGCTCCATCCCATGACCTGGGCTTATGACTTGAGCCAAAATCAAGAGCCAGATGCTAAACCCACTGAGCCACACAGGCACCCCCAGGATCCATTTCTAATTCTAGTCGTCTTGCTACTTCCACCACATCTGAGGTTATTTTCTTTCTTTATTTTTTTAAATTTTTTGACATTTATTCATTTTTTTGAGCAAGAGAGTGAGCAGAGGAGGGGCACATACACACGCACACACACAGAATCAGAATCAGGCTGCAGGCTCTGAGCTGTTGGCACAGAGTCCGATGTGGGGCTCAAACTCATGAACCGTGAGATCACGACCTGAGCTAAAGTCGGCTGCTTAACCGACGGAGCCACCCAGGTGCCCCTACAGTTAGCTTCTTCACTGAAGTCTTGAATCCCTCAAAATCATCCATGAGGCTGGGGATCAACTTGTTCCAAACTTCTGTTGATGTTGATTTGTTTCTTTACCAATTCCCATGAATCATAAATCTTCCTGTTGCCATCTGGAATGGTGAATCCTTTCCAAAGGTTTTCAGTTCGTTTCACCCAGATCCATTAGAGGAAGCACTATCTGTGGCAGCTACAGCTTTACCAAATTTGCTTTTTTAAAAAATATTTATTTATTCATTTCAAGAGAGCAAGCACAAGTGGGAGAGGGGCAGAATAGGGAGGGAGAGAGAGAATCCCAAGCAGGCTCCATGCTGTCAGCGCAGAGCCTGACTCAGGGCTCAAACTCACAAACCACAAGATCATTACATGAGCTCAGATCACAAGTCAGACACATAACCAACTGAGCCACGCAAATGCTCCCTAAATGTGCTGGTTAAATAATAAGGCTTGAGAGTCTAAGTTATTCCTTGATCCATGGGCTACATAGTGGATATAGTGTTAGCAGGCTTGAAAACAACATTAATCTAATTGTGATTCTCCATCAGAGCTCTTGGGTGACCAGGTACATTGTCAATGAGCAGTAATATTTTTAAGGTCATCTTTTTTTTTTTTTTTTGCAAGCAGTAGGTCTCAGCAGTAAACTTAAAATATTTAGTAAACCATGTTGTAAGCAGATGTGCTGTCACTGGGACTTTGTGGTTCCATTGGTGGAGGACCGGCAGGGCAGATTAGGCATAATTCTGAAGGGCCCCAGGATTTTCAGAATGGTAAATGAGCATTGGCTTTAACTTAAACTCACCAGGTGCATTAATGTTTAATAAGAGAGTCGACCTGTCCCTTTAAGCCAGGCATTGACTTCTCCTGTCTAGCTGTGAATAGCATCTTCTTCCAATAGAAGGCTATTTCTCATCTACATTGAAAATCTGTTCAGTGTAGCCATCTTCATGAATTATCTCAACTCCTCAATATCCTGGATAATGTGTGGTGTCACTTCTGTATCAGCACTTGCTACTGCATCTTGCACTTTTTGTTATGGAGGTAGTTTTTTCCTTTTACCTCATGTACCAACCTCTGCTAACTTAAGACTTTTCTTCTGCAGCTTCCTCACCTCTGAGAGTTAGGGTCTTGCTCTGGATTAGGCTTTGCCCTAAGGGAATATTGTGGCTGATCTTTCCAGGCCACTAAAACTTTCTCCATATCAGCAGTAAGGCTGTTGTTTCACTTTATTATCATTTGTGTGTTCACTGGAGTAGCTTCAAACTTCTAATTTTCTTCAAGAACTTTTCCTTTGTATTCACAATTTGGCTATACTATTTAATACAAGAAGCCTAGCTTTCAACCTATCTCGTTTTTCAACGTGCCTTTTTCACTAAGCTTAATCATTTCTGCCTTTTGATTTAAAATGAGAGATGCACAACCTTTCACTTGAACACTTACAGGGCATAGTAGGCCTAATAATTTCAGTATTTTTATGTCTCAGAGACTAGGGAGGCCTGAGGAGAGAGAGAGGCTAGTGGGGGAAGGAACAGCTGGTCAGTGGAGCAGTCAGACCACACTCAGCAGTTACCAACTAAATTCACCATCTTATATGGGTGCGTTTGGTGGCACCCCGAAGTAATTACAATAGTAATATCAACAGTCACAGATCACCATAACAAATACAAGAATAATGAAAAAGTTTGAAATATTACAAGACTAATCAGAATGTGACATGAAGTGAGCAATGCTGTTGGGAAAATGGTGCCTATAGACTTGAGACTGGATTGCCATAAACCTTTAATTTTTAAAAATGGCAGTACTGAGGAGTACAGTAAAATGAGGTATACCTGTAGTCTCCTTTTTCTGTGTGTATGAAAAAGACTTTTGCCAAATATACAGGTATACATCATTTGAAAAAAGAAAAAAAAAGGAGGAAGGTGCAGAAATGGATTGAAATAGTACAGTGACATGGAATAGAGCCACTGCTCTCTTCTGAGAAAAGAGTCATGCATTTTTAGAAATCTGACAAATTATACAACTGGCATTTTAGCTTCATTCATTTATTCAACAAATGTTCCTGGAGTGCTCTCTGGAGAGTGTGTGAAGTGAAATCAGCCTGAAGAGGCCTTATAAACCTTTGTAAAGATTTTGACTTTGAGTAAGTGGGAAGCCACTGGAAGATTTTTTTTTTTTTAAAAATTTTTTTTTAATGTTTTATTTATTTCTAGGAGAGAGAGAGACAGCGTGAGCAGGGGAGGGTCAGAGAGAGAGGGAGTCACAGACTGAAACAGGCTCCAGGCTCTGAGCTGGCAGTCAGCACAGAGCCCGACGAGGGGCTCGAACCCACAAACCGCGAGATCATGACCCAAGCGAAAGTCGGACACTTAACCGACTAAGCCACCCAGGCGCCCCAGCCACTGGAAGATTTTTGAGCAAAGTAGTCATGTGATTGGAGTTTTGTATAAATGGATTATTTTGGCTACTGTACAGAGAATAGACTAAAGGGAGGCAAGGGCCAAATTTAGAAGACTACTTAAGAAGCCACTGCAGAAATCCAGGCCAAGAAAAAAATTATGTTCGCTTAGATTGGAATTTAGGGCTTGTAAGAAGCGGTCAAAATAAGTTTGAAGGTAGAGCCAATGATATTTGCTGACAGATTGGATGTGGGTATGAAGGAAAGATGTTAAGGATTATGGCTGAGCAACTGGAAGGATAGAATTCCTTTTCACTGAAATGGTAAAGACTGGAGGGAGTGGGAGTGAGGAGTAATTAAGAACTCTCCCCTTCGATAGTTTAAATTTGAGATGCCTGTTAGACATCCAAGTGGAAGTGATGTCCTCTTTGGGGTTCCAGGCTAGAAAAAGAAATGTGCAAGTTATCACTGAATAGAGGAGGTGTACAGCTGGGAAACTGGAAGCTAACACTCTATATAAAGAAGAAAAGCTGTAGGGCACTCCAATGGCAGGGAAATAAAGAGGGATTGACTAAGGAGACAGGGAAGCCTGGTAGGCTGGTACAGAAACCCACAGAGTAAGGTGTCCTGGTAGCCAAGCCAAGGAAATGCTTGAAGGAGGAAGATGTGATCAGTTGTGTCAAACGTTGATTGTGACATGAAGGTGTCAGGAGTGATCCTAATGAGCAGTTTTGTAGAATGGAAGGGCCAATAACCCAGCTGGAATGAGTTTAAGGATGAGTTTAAGAATGAGTTTAATGGAGGATGGAGAACCAGAATTAGAAATGATGGTTAACTTTTGTTTTTACAGCTTTATTGAGATATAATAAGCATATAATAAACCATTCATGTTTTGATGTTGACATATGTATGAATATGTGAAAACAGTACCACAATTGATATAATGAACCCATCACCCTCAAAAGCTTCCTCATGACTCTATATTCCCCCTCCAGTCCCTAGCTCTGCTTTGCACTGTAGATTTGTTTGTATCTCCTAGACTTGTATATAAAAGGAATCATACATTGTATACTTTTTTGTCTGATTTTTTTCATTATTTTCATGTTGATGGTATCAGTAGTTAATTCTTTTTTATTGCCAAACAGTATTCTCTTGTATGCATATACTAGAATTTATCCACTCACCTGTTGATGAACATTTGTGTTGTTTCTAGTGTTTCTCTATTACAAATAAAACAACTGTTAACATTTTTTGTAAGTCTTTGTGTGGCCATGTGCTTTTATTTCTCTTGAATAAGTAGTTACTGCTTGGGTCATGTGGTTGTTGCATTTTTAATTTTTTGGGAAAAATGCAAAGCTGTTTTCCAAAGTGCTTGAAACATTTTAAATTGTCGCCGAAGGTGTACAAGGCTTCCATTTGTCCTACATCTTTGCCAACACTTGGTATAGCCAATATTTTTTATTTTAGCCTTTCTAGGAGTGTATTGGTATAATACTGTGGTTTTAATTTGAATTTCCTTCATGATTACTCATGAGTATTTTTTTGTGTGCCTAGTTGCCATTTACATCTAATTTGATGAACTATCTTCAGATAGAAAGAATGAATCCTGCTTACTCTTTTATATTGCTCTGCCTGTTCAATGTTCCTAAATAGTGTAAATGTGGAATGTCAATTAAATGTGTAAAACTGCCTTTAATTCATAATGGTAATTCACAAGTGATTATGCTGATGCCAGTGTAATTGGAAGAAATAATTGCTGTCTTGCTATATTCTAACAGGTTGCAGCGTTGCAAGAGGAGAAAAGTAGTCTTTTGGCAGAGAATCAGGTATTAATGGAGAGACTTAATCAGTCTGATTCTATAGAAGATCCTAACAGTCCTGCAGGAAGAAGGCATCTGCAGCTCCAAACTCAATTAGAACAACTCCAAGAAGAAACATTCAGGTAAAAGACCACTCACTAGAGTCTGTCTGTTAAACATTTGGTAACTGACTTTTAAAGTTAAGAATATAGTGCTAGGACTATGCCACTCTGGTGCTATAAAATGCTAGGTGGCTACAAACCAAAGGAAGATGTAAAATAAACAATTTCCCCAAATTTTCCCATGTGACACGAAGGTAACTTCACATCTAGGAAAAATTCTGTCGAAGCCACACGCTCAATATAATCTGAAAGACAGTATACCTCAGTTGTTCTTGTGAGAAAAACATACAAGAGCCACGCATCCCACAAATCTGTCCCACCCCATCCTCCTAGGCTGTTTGAGGCAAGTAAAAGGCAGAGTAACAAAATTAGAGGAAGACAGAAAAATATGAGGCTTGAGGGTAAGTTGGAGAGATCACCAGAAAGATTAAATTCACTGGAAATCTGAAATCACTTTTAAAGCAGAAAAAGCAATTAAAACACAAACTTCACGGAAAAGATTTCAATGTCAAGTGCATTGCCTTAAAGGACCAGATACCATGAAAACATAGCGGCACTAACATAAAGAGATTGGTGCCCTTTGCAGGTACTTGGTTTAAAGAGACACAATAAAAAGGCCAAGTGCATAATTTATAAAGATAGACTTTTTTCTCTTTTAAATTTTTTTTTAATGTTTTATTTATTTCTAGGAGAGAGAGAGAGAGAGACAGTGTGAGCAGGGGAGGGTCAGAGAGAGAGGGAGTGACAGACTGAAACAGGCTCCAGGCTCTGAGCTGGCAGTCAGCACAGAGCCAGACGCGGGGCTCGAACCCAAGAACCGCGAGATCATGACCTAAGCGAAAGTCGGACGCTTAACCAACTAAGCCACCCAGGCGCCCCTATAAAGATAGACTTAAAGGGCAAGCTAACTTAAAGGGACTAAACAAATCTTCTGGGATATGAAAAGACCAAAAGGAAGGGAGAATGGCCCTTTGGCAATTGGATGCTAAAAGGGAAAAAAAAAAAAGGAAAAATTGGGCATCCTGCCAGATAAAACAGAACCACAAAATTGAAGGAATTATCAGTAAAGAATATATTTTGCTGTAACAGAAAAAAATAAACTATATTTAAGTCTTTTCTAACCTTGGAAATAGTCTGTCCCCTGTGGTCTACATGAGCAATTCAAGATGTGGTGTGCAGACCCCTGCAGGTTTGCAAACACTCTTTCAGAGAGGCTTCCAGACCGTCCCTTTTCTAACTGCACGTCTATGCCAGGATGGATTTCTTTCACATATTTCAGCCAAAAAGGTGTCCCAACAGGTCAATAGAGAAATAGCTATGACAGCCCAGCTGTCTTCTGTTAAACTGGATTATTTGAATCACAAAAATATAAAACATCACTATTCTTCTCCCTGTTTTTGTGTTTTAGGATATAGTTATTTTTCATAAATGATGTGTTGTCTATATTGACATAATGGGTTTTTTGCTGTTATTTTCAATATATTTAGATGTTTCTGTTTTAATTTTTACTTATAAGTAAATATCAATAGATAAAACCTGTATAAAAGCTCTTTGAAATGTCAGTAATTATGAAGGGGTCCTGAGACCAAAAACTTGGGTAACTCTTCATCTTTATCTTGACCTTCTAAGACAGAATTGGTAGATAGTAAAATCTAAGTATGACTGTACCCTTTTGTTTCTAAATTGTGGCACGTTTTGTTTTGTTGTGAAGGGGGGCTGAGAGGTGGGGGGTAGGGGAGAGAGAGAGAGAATGAATTCCATGTAGGCTTTGCACTGTCAGTACATGGAGTCCAGTGCAGGACTCAAACTCATGAACTGTGAGACCATGACTTGAACCAAAAGCAAGATTCTGATGCCTAACCGACTGAACCACCCAGGTGCCCCTCAGTTGTGGTTAGTTTTTAAACTATGGTTTGGGGAAGTGGTAATTAGAATTGCCCTGTGTATTCATTATAAAGGAAATAGTGTCTCAATCTTTTATTTATTCTAGAATACCTGTTTTGATACATATTGCAATTATTCTTTTGAACCACTTAAACACTTTAAGTTACTTCTTAGTACTACATATTTATATCTCTCAATATTTATTATTCCTTATATTCGTATATAATTCTTTTGGCTTTTCTGTATTATGACCTTGTATCTAATTTTTTTTCTTTTTTGATCATAGATACAAGTTTTCAAGTTTTAAGTCTCATAGATTGTTTTAAAGAAATTATTATTAATTTTAATAGATGTGACAGTGGTATCAATGTGCTTTTAATTTTTTTTTTAATGTTTTTATTTATTTTTGAGAGAGAGAGTCAGACAGAGCGTGAGTTGGGGAGGGGCAGATAGAAAGAGAGGGACACAGAATCCAAAACAGGCTCCAGTCTCCAAGCTGTCAGCACAGACGGGGCTCGAACTCATGAGCTGTGAGATCATGACCTGAGCTGAAGTCAGTTGCTAACTGACTGAGGCGCCCAGGTGCCCTTCATACATTATTTTTAATCACAATAGGTACAATATATTCTTTCAATGGTGGGATCTGGCAGTTACCATTTAATTAAATCATCAAACTAAGCAGCACAACCCACAGTGTACACAGTGTCGCCCATATGGTCTTTTTGCCAGATATTTAAAATTAATGTAATCATGAGGAAATAATCAGAATAAGGAATATCCTTAAAAATAGCTAAGACTACTCAAAAAAGTAAATAAAATAGGAGCTTATTTTTCTTTATTTTTTATTTTTTTAAAAATGTTTATTTTTGAGAGAGAGACAGAGTGCAAGTGGGGGAAGTGCAGAGAGAGAGACACACAGAATCTGAAGACAGGCTCCAGGCTGTGATCTGTCAGCACAGAGCCTGACACGGGGCTCAAATCCACAAACCGCAAGATCGTGATCTGAGCCAAAGTCCAACGCTTAACCAACGGAGCCATCTAGCTGCCCATCAAAAAAGTCTATGTTAATAAAAACTAAAAGGAGTAAAATACAAAAGGAATAATACAACTAAAGATAATGTGAAAATTTTCATTGGATCACGGATCAAGGTGGAGAGAGGGAACATTTTTACTACAGTTGGAGAAATTTAAATATGAACTACATATTAGATAATATTAAATTAATATTAATTGTCTTAGATATAATGATAGTATTGTGATAATATATAAAAGTCTATCCTTATTGCTAAAGTTTAGGGGTCAAGAGTCATGACATCTGCAGCTTCCTTTCAGATAGTTCTCAAAAGAAATGTATGTGTGTATATTATGTATGTGTTTACCCATAAAGTGAGTGAGAGAAAGCATATGAGGCAAAATGTAAGCAGTAAGTAGATGAATCTAGAAAAGGGTATGCAGATATTCATTGGACTAGTCTTTAAAATTGCCTATAGATTTTAAATATTTAAAAGTAAATAGTTGGTGGTAGAGGAGACTTAAATCCAGTTTTCTAGACAATGATAACATCTGGAGCATAAGCATTTACTTCCACTTTTCCCTCCCTTACATCAAAACCAACAAAAATAGTTTAAAAAAACTACTAACATCTGATAATATGAATATTTTTAAAATAACAGCAACTCCAATCCAGTACAGTACTGTATTAAAATAAACTTTATACTAGGATTGTTAACCTGTTAGATATTATTAAGTCTATTACAATAACTATTAAATTTCTTATTTTAGCTCTTTCAACCCATAAGTTAAAGGAGCAGGAATAGTATAAAATAAGGTTGGAATGTGAAATTCTCAGTAAAGAACAAGAGGATAATCTGTATTAATCTAGTATTTAAGTTTTTTTCTAGGCATTCCAAAAATCCTGCCTTTGCCACTTAGGAGCTGTGTAACTTTGGACATGCCTCCATTTCATTCACTATAAGATGGTCTAATAATTACCTACCCTCTAGAATTTTTGTCTTAAATGAGCATTAAATGAGTTAACATATGAAAAGTAATGAGAATATTGCCTGGCACATAAATACAATTTAGTTATTACTTTTCTGGGAAATGAAATAAAAATAAATAAGATAAAAATTTTGGAATGACAAAAAGTAAATGATCATTATTTATAGATAACAGGTTGGTCCACCTAGAAAATGTTAAGTGAATCAACCAAAAGTTTTCAGAACCAGTAGACACTTAATGGGGATAGGGTAACTCTAAGACATTTGTATAGGTCATAAGATGTTCTAGCAATAACTAGTTAGTATCATCAGGAAAAGCTTGTTTTTGTAAGTATATAAGTACCTAAAGAATAATAAAATTTTGAAGGACTGTGAGGAACTTACACAACAAAAACTCTGTCGTACATAAGAAATATTTCAATATATGAAGAAAGATAACATATGTTTACTTTGGGTTTTTTACACATTAAAAAAATTTTTTTTAATGTTTACTTTACTTATTTTTGAGAGAGAGAGAGAGAGAGACAGAGCATGAGCCAGGGAGGGACAGAGAGAGAGAGGGACAAACAGGCTGTCTGTCAGACAGAGCCTGACATGGGGCTCGAACTCACGAGGTGTGAGATCCTGACCTGAGCCCAAGTCAGATGCTCAACTTACTAAGCCACTCAGGCACCCTTGGTTTTTTGTTTTTTGTTTACATGTTTATAACAGAGTATTGTAAGAATGCCATTTTCTCTTAAATTATTATATAATTTGAATTTGATTCCAATTCACATTTTATGTTCAGCCAGAAGTATTGATGAGCAGGAGATTCCCAGAACGTTTACACTCAAACTATAATGAGGGAGTACTTGCTATGTCCATTGTTGAAATGTTATACACCTGTACTAATTTTAAAAGCTTGGTACTGGTGCAGTACAATACAGACAACCAATAACACGAATGAAGATCCAGAAACCAACCCAAGTGTATACATAAATGTGTAATATGACAAAGGTGGCATTTCTAATCAATAGGTAAAGGTTAAATTATTTGTTAAATGGTTTTGGGATAGTGGGTAAATATTTTGGGAGGAAAAGTTAGATTCCTACATTACATCATATACTAAAGTGAATTCCAGAGAAAATTGAGAATTTTAGTGTTAAAAATGAAATCCTATAAATACTAACAGAAAAATATAGGATAAAAGAAAAAAGCTTTCTAATTATACAATAACAAGTAAAAACTATAAGGTAGAAAATTTATCAGTAGAGTCACGTAAAATTTAAGAATTTCTGTTAAATTAAAATACTTCTACAAATTAAAAGTAAGTAAAGGAACACCTGAGGGGTTGCCTAGGTGGCCCAGTTGGTTAAGCATCCAACTCTTGATTTTGCTTCCAGTCATGATTTTGTGGTTGGTCAGGCTCCTTGCTGGGTGTGGAACCTGCTTAAGATTCTCTCTATCCCTTCTCCATCCCTTCCCTACTTGTGCTCTCTCAAGAAAAGTTTTTTAAGTGGAGGGCACCTGGGTGGCTCAGTCAGTTAAGCATCCGACTCTTGGATTTCAGCTCAGATCATGATTCTCGCTGTTCGTGGGGTCAAGCTCCATGTCATTGCTGCCCCTCTACCCCACTCACAAGCTCACTTGCTCTTGCTCTCTCTCTTAAATAAAAAAAAAGTAAATAATCAACAAGAAAGATTTGTGACATTAGAGACAATCTTGTAAATCAAAAGGAAAGATTTATGTTAAGTAAAACAAATGAGAAGTAGGAACAGTATTATCCATATTTGGAGAGGAAAAGACCTATTAATAGCAACCAGACTAAGATATACTCAAAAATATTAACAGTATTATCTACTTGGATTAATACATATTTTTTCTTTCTTGCCCTTCCGTATTTTATAAATTTTCAGCAAGGAACATCTGTTAATTTCATAGTCAAAAATAAAACTTTAAATAAATTATATGTGCTGTATTTGGGAAAATATTACATGATGTCTAATTTGCTAAACAGAGAAGTGGTAGTCAGTTGTTATGATTCCACAAGCCTTAGACCACTGAAATCCATTTTCAAGATAGTTAAAACTTGGAGATAAAACTTACGATCACAAAAGTGGGAGACAGATTCATGAGTTTATTCTCATGTTTGTTATTTCATTTTACTTTTCTAAGGAGAAATATTAGATAGTAAATAGCATTTTCTTGGTCTCTTTTGTTTTGATTACAGACTAGAAGCAGCCAAAGATGATTATCGTATACGCTGTGAAGAGTTAGAAAAGGAAATCTCTGAACTCCGGCAACAGAATGATGAACTAACCACTTTGGCAGATGATGCTCAGTCTCTAAAAGATGAAATAGATGTTCTTAGGTAAACAGTTTTCCTGTCTTTGTGGCATCTCAGGCCTGTTATCACCCAGAACAGCTCTGCCACTGATGTTACAAACTCTCAGATCTCTGAATAGGAGGGTATTTAACTGGGTTCAGATTCCAGTGCTACCTTTTATTTAACCTCTCATGTAAACATTTTCTCATCTGTAAAATGGAGATAATATACCTCCCTACCTCAGATTTAGAGGCAGAACTAAGTGAGTTTTTATTTCTAAACCGTTGGAACAGTATCTGGCAAGTAAGTGCTGTATAAATGTTTGTTGAATAGAAACTAGTCTCCGACCATCACTTCATACTTGTGTAGTTCTGGAGCTTCTCTTATAATGACTCCTTTTCTTTAATTTCAAGTCCTCTGGTCACTTAGTCTTCCTCTTTCTCGGATACTGTCACACCCCACGATGCATCATTTCCTTGCTGGACTGTTTTACCTGCACCTCAACTGTTCTCTCACTAAACGCCTTCACTCTCTGCCACCTCGATTTGCCACCATTCCACTTGTGTGATCTATCCTTTGTTGGATCATTCCAGCCATTTACAGTTTTTGCTCTTTGAATACTGAGAATGAATAGAGAACAATCATATAGTGATAGAGTTTTGTCCTACTACAGTTCCATGATCTTTACTCTTCGTTGGGCTCTTATCTGTAGTCCACCATTCTGCTGCTCATGATAGCTGGCTCTGTCTCCCGTTTCTCTCATAGCTAGTACCTGTTTCCATAACTCTTCTCACTGGACACCTCCCCCTCCCCCACCTCTCAATGCCTCAGTCTCAGTAGATGACATCGTCTCCTACTGCAACAAGGAAGAAGTATGAGCTGTGGGACTCTACATGTCCTGTACTTCCTGCACCTCCTAACTGCCCTGCATTCCCACCTATCTTTTCCTTTTTGCTTTTAGAATGTAGACTTGTCATTCTTTCTCATATCCAGCGCTGATTCCTTCTTCAGTGCTCTGGGTCTCAACACTTCTTGCTTACACAAGGACTGTGTTCCATCCATTATCATTTCTCTTCGCATTTGGATCTCCCACCTTAGCATATATTTATATGTTTAGGTCTCTCATCTTAGAAAAAAGACTTACTACTCTCTCCTTCCCTCCAGAACAAATTTAGATTATACAAGGTAAAATTTACATTCTCTCCTTCACTCCCTAAAATGTGCCCTCTCCTTACCCCCCCCCCCCCCCCCACTGCTGCATGGAAATGGCTGTTCCTGTGGTCACTAATGTCGTTCTATTTGCCAGATCATTTGGACACTACACAATTTATTTTGCTTCTGTGTGATATGTCACTGTGCTGGCTACCCCTCCCACACACACCCCATCACCACTACTTGCTTTCCTTAAATTATATGACATTCTCTATCACAAGTTTTGCTGTAATTTTGGTCATATTTTTTAGCCTGAACAAAACATTAATCTAGAATCACCTTTGGTCTTATAACTTCATTGGAAATGTGTTCTTTTCTGGCAGTCCCTCTTGGTTTAGCACTATTAAAACAGCTTTACAGCTCTGGATGTGTTTCTGATTTCTGATCTCCCATCTCATTCTAGACATTCTTCTGATAAAGTGTCTAAACTAGAAGGCCAAGTGGAATCATATAAAAAGAAGCTAGAAGATCTTGGTGATTTGAGGCGTCAGGTTAAACTCTTAGAAGAAAAGAATACTATGTATATGCAGAACACTGTCAGTCTAGAGGAAGAGTTAAGAAAAGCCAATGCAGCTCGAAGTCAACTTGAGACATATAAGAGACAGGTAAAAAGAATAGTAACAAAGTTTCTTAATGATGTTTTCAAGCAAGCTCTCCATTATAACACTGTGGCTTACCAAAAATCCACTGACTTTTGTTTTCACAGTATTCTGGTTTTTACTTATGAAACTTAGTTCTTTTTTTCTACTAAGTTCTTAATTTTAATTCTAGTATAGTTAACGTTAAAACTTAGCTCTTATCCAGAGGTTACTGACTAGTCTCTATAGCAGATCCTTTTATTGTCTTTTATTTTTAAGTTATTATGTAATACTTAAGAAATACCCAAAAGTAAAAGAATAATACAAGTAACTATGCTTAAAAAATAAAACATACTCTTCCCCTCTTCATTACAGTAACCGATATGCTATTTTGTAGTTTTCTTTCCGTGCATCTCTTTATTCTTTTGGTGCATATATATTTACTCATATACGTATGTATATGTATAATGTGTAACATTTTTGACATGTTTCAGAAGTATATAAATGATACAGTAAAAAGACTCTTCTGTGCTTTACTTTGCTCCATATATTTGTGAGATTTGTTTATGTTGACAGGTATAGTTTTATTTGGTTCATTTGTACTGCTATATTGTATCCTGTTGAGTCATGATACCACAGTTTATCCATTTTCCTATCGAAGGACATATAGGATATTTCAACCTTTCTTTTAATTACAAGAAATGTCTCTATGAATAGTATTGAATATGTTCTCTTCTATACTTATATGTAAGTTTTGTAGCTATAAGGAATTTCTTCCTTAGAGTATCTTCATTTAATGAGATACTGCTAAATTGCTGTTCAAAGTTATTACTAACCAGAAGTTTGTATGAATCCCTGTTGTTCCACATCATCACCAACACATAGTATGGTTGTACTTGAAATTTTGCCAATTGTATGAATATGAAATAGTGTCTCCTCATGGTTATACTTTGCATTACCCTAATTACAAATATATTTACTGATTACATTTCTTTTATGAATTGCCCATTTTTAATCTTCTATTCATTTTTAAAATTGTGTTTCTTTTTCTTACCGATTTCTTAAAGTTCTTTATATGTTCTTGCTATTAATCTTTTGTCAGTTACACTTGCTACATTTATTTCCTACCAATCTGACCTTTCTCTTTACCTTTTTTAAGATTGATTAGCTTAATGTAATGAATTTTAAATGTCTTTTTATGATTTATGCCTTTTATGTTTTAAGAAACAATTTCCTACATAAGGATGTAAGGCTAATCTCTGTTTTCTTAACAAAGATTTAAAAAGTTAGTTTTGCACAATTAGGTCTTTAAATCACAAGGAATTAGTTTTTGTGTAGGATGCTAGATTAAGGATCCATTTGAATACTTTATTGTCTATGTAGGCAACCAGTCAACCTAGTGGCATTTATTTAATAGTCAGTCTCTAAGTCTATCTTATCACATACCTAAAGTTTCTATCTTAAATGTGAGTTTGTTTCTGGGTACTCTCTTCTGTTTCATTGGCTTATTTGTCTATTCTGATACCAATACCCTGCTTCCTTATTATTTATAAATTTTTAGTAATTTTGTTATATGATAATACAGACATCCACACCTTGTTCTTTTTCGAAACGGTCTCTTAGATCTTTTCCTTTCCTTTATATCCAAAACGTTTGGGAATTAGAATTGCATTGACTCTGTTGATTAATTTGGGGAGAATTGACATCTTTATGACAGAGAGTGTTCCTATTGGTCAATATATCTTTCCATTTATTTAGGTCTTCAGTATCTTTCAGATATGTAATTTTCTTCTAAATGTCATGCCCATATTACATTTACTTTTAGGTACCTTGTTCAGATTTTGTAACAGCAATTAGCAAAAGAAAGGATACCATTTTCAGTTTGTTGTTTATTTATACAATTGAAATCAGTGTCATTTTACAGCCATGTTAGATTCTCATATTACTTCTGATAATGTCTGTAGGATCTCTTGTCAGAAGTCATATAGAATACAAATAAAATAGTTTTCTTTTTTCTATTCCATACCCTTTTTTTCCTTCTTAATCAGCATGTTTGACCTGTAATACAACTCAGAATAGAAGTAATCATATTAGGCAACAATTTTTTGTTGATTTTATACAGAATGCTTGAAATATTTTACCAGTGTATTTTGCTCAGGGTGCCTATCTTAAATGGATAAACTTAATTAGCTCCTTTTCTTACACTATTGAGATATTTCCTATACTGCTCTTCCTTTCTATTAATGTGATGAATTATATTAATGGATTGTCTTATGCTTAAGCCATCCTTGCATTCCTGAATTAAAACTCATTTAGTCACTGGAGATTTATTGTTTTCACCTTATTAGATTTGCTTCGTTCATTTTACTTAGAATATTTTGCCTCTATGATTCACTTAAAGTTTTCTATCTCATACTTATTTGATTTTTGGCACCAAAACTATGCTAGCTTAAAATGAGTTGGAGAAGTTTTAGTAGAACAGCTCTGTATACCATGAATACTGGCAAGTTTTTTGCTGGGTATATTTCTTTTATTTTTCTTATTTTTTAATGTTTATTTATTTTTTGAGAGACATTGTGTGGGCAGGGGAGGGACAAATAGAGAGGGAGTCACAGAATCTGAAGCAGGCTCCAGACCCTGAGCTGCCAGCACAGAGCCCAAAATGGGCCTTAAACTCAAAAACCGTGAGATTATGACCTGAGCTGAAGTCGGACATTCAAACAACTGAGCCACCCAGCTGCTCCCTGGCTATATTTCTTCCCAACATTTTATTATGCAATTTTCATACAGTAAAGTTGAAAGAATTAGTGAACTTGAATGTGGACTGAGAAAATACCCAAAATAAATATAGCCCAGAGAAACTATACATGACATTAAAAGATGTCAAATTAAAATGAAATGATTCCAGAAATTATTAATATTCCAGAAAAGAGAACAGCAAGAAATACAGAAAGACATTATTTGAAGAAAGGATGTATGAACATATTTTTAGAACTAATGAAGGACAGGGGCACCTGGGTGGCTTAGTCGTTTAAGCGTCCGACTTTCGCTTAGGTCATGATCTCGTGGTTCATGGGTTCGAGCTCCGCGTCGGGCTCTGTGCTGACTGCCAGCTCAGAGCCTGGAGCCTATTTCGGAGTCTGTATCTCCCCCTCTCTCTGACCCTCCCCTGCTCACGCTGTCTCTCTATCTCCTAGAAATAAATAAAAATATAAAAAAAAAAAAAGAACTGATGAAGGACATCAGAGATAGTATTTACAGTGCTTTACAAACAAAATAAATAGTCTACAGCTAGAAATATTGCAGTGAAAAAAAATATTGCAGTGAAATTCTGTAATATGCTAATTCTCTCCACCTATTTTTCTGATCTGGAGCTTAATATACTTTATTTTTCAATGATCATATTTTTATTTTTAAAAGTTCATTTTGAATGTTCTTTCAAACCTGCCTGACCATCTTCCTTTTATAATTTAGATTTTCATCTTTATTTTTCTTTAAGTATTAAATCTAGTATTTTATAACTGATAATTCCGGTCTGAAATCCTTTCAGGTCTTATTCTACTATTTTGTTGTTATTGTTAATGTTTTTCTGACTGGTGTTCATAGTGACTTCTTTAAGGCTCTGCTCTTTCATTTGGCTCCTCTTCATCTTCAGGAATATTAGGAGGTTTGGGTTGATGTTTTCCTTCAATGTATGGTTTGTTTATACCGCATTTTTCACAGCGCTATCAACCAAGACAACTTTAAATTAATTGCCTGAGTTAGGATTTACTGGATAAGGCCTTTTGTAAAAATGGAAACATAAATCTACATATTAGCAGGCCATAGTTACAGACTTTCAAGTTACACGGTTTTAAACCCAGAGGACTCACTTTATGACAGGCAAGCTTCCTTACTGATTTTTCCAGCTAATGGATTATTTCCTAACCTACCTGTTTACTGACTCAGCACCTTTTAGAGCCCAAGATGGTTTAAAAACTGGTCTTCCTTTACATTCAACGCTCTGGTTTCCTGGTATTAGCAGTTGGTACATCATGGAACCTATAGCTTCTATACAAACTTCCCACTGCAGTTTCAGCCCCTGAAGCTTTCTCTTACTTTCTTGTAAGCGGAGCTGTACAATGGGACTTTTTGTCCCCTACCATTTCTTTTGCTTTGTGCTGAGTTTCAGACCCCTCTGTTATGTTCATTACAGGAAATGAAAGTCTGTCCTATATGTTCTTTAGTAATTTTGTATATTGTTACTTTGGATGATCTGAATTTAGAACCTATAATGTCTGACCAGATTTTTGTTACTAGTTCTTTCTGTTGGGTTAGGCTGCTATATTGTACACATTTTAATTCTTTTTTATTTTTATTTTTTTAGTATTTCTTGGGAGATGGGGAGTTTTCATAGCTCTGTGGAAGAAAATAGTGATAATTTCTAATGTTCCAAATTTTAAAAATTAATGGTACCTTTCTGTATCAGGTGGTAGAACTACAAAATAGATTATCTGAAGAATCAAAGAAAGCAGATAAATTAGATTTTGAATATAAGCGGCTAAAAGAAAAAGTTGACAGTCTTCAAAAAGAAAAAGATGTGAGTATACATATTGGGCTTTTGGGTTTTGAGTACCCCTAAAATTAAGACGGTGGTATTTAACTCATATTTGTATTATAATAATTCCTTCTATTTATAAATTAAAAATTAGGGATCCTGTTTGTTTTTAAATGATAGAAGATTCACAATTGTGTTTCGGAAATAAATCTAAAATAAAAGATTAAAAGACTGTTTTTACTTCCACTCTAATTTCTCTTGTATACTTTTGTGTTTTCTACCACTGTTGTTTCTCATATTGTTCTGTTCATGACTTTGTATAAATTTGAATAACTTTTCTGTTTTCTGTGTACTCTAATACAAAGGACACAATTCTTTTTGTTGTTCATCATATCTTAAATCTTTTAAAAATATTTTTACTTTGTCATGGTTTATGAATATTTAAAGTCTTAGCTATCTGATCTTTTTATGTCTAATGAAAGGAATGTTATTTGTATAATATACTTTAGTAGCGATGGAGTAGACAGTTTTGTTATCTTTAACTGTGCATAACATATTGCCTTGCATGTAGTAGATATTTTATATTGTTAAATATTAAATTTGTTGTAATTTTGTCCTTTTATGATCCTTCTATGGAATATCAAAAGGTGAAACGTGCCCATGTTCCCTACTGTTCATCACTCTCTTAGGTAAGGCAAAGACCACTGATGAATAAATTCATAAAACTTAAGACTAACTTTTCCTTATTTCTAATGTCCCTGCAGAGGCTAAGAACAGAAAGGGACTCTCTGAAGGAAACTATCGAAGAGCTTCGTTGTGTACAGGCTCAAGAAGGACAGCTCACAACTCAAGGTAAAAACACTTTAGTAACTCAAGCAAGATCATTTATTTCTTATAGTATCAGTAGAAATTTTGATTCATTTTAAGATGCCTGCACCAGTGGATGAAAATGAAAAATTGGTGAAGAGGCATGAAGTTGATATAAATTATAAACTGTTACCCAGAGTTTGTGGCAAATAGGCTGTAATTAATAAGACCAGATTTACTTGCCAATTTTTATATTTTAATTATATGTAAATGTTTGAATTTTATTAGATCAAAGGCATAAACATTTGTTAAATCATCTGGAAAATTTTATCCTGGAAAGTTTCTTTCTTTCTTTTTTTTTTTTTTTAAATATTTTTATTTATTTCTAGGAGAGAGAGAGAGACAGCGTGAACAGGGGAGGGTCAGAGGGAGGGGGAGATACAGACTCCGAAATAGGCTCCAGGCTCTGAGCTGGCAGTCAGCACAGAGCCCGACGCGGGGCTAGAACCCACGAACCACGAGATCATGACCTAAGCGAAAGCCGGACGCTTAACCGACTAAGCCACCCAGGCGCCCCTATTCTGGAAAGTTTCTTATGACCTCTTTAAAAGCCAAACTTTAGGGGCACCTGGGTGGCTCAGTCAGTTAAGCATCCGACTTCGGCTCAGGTCATGATCTCATGGTTCCTGGGTCCCGCGTTGTGCTCTCTGCTGACAGCCAGCTCAGAGCCTGGAGCCTGCTTCAGATTCTGTATCTCCCTCTCCCTCTGACCCTCCCCTGCTCACTCTCTCTCTCTCTCTCTCTCTCTCTCTCTCTCTCTCTCAGAAATAAATAAAACATTTACAAAAATTTTTTCTTTTAATAAATAAAAGTCAAACTTTAGAAAGTTTTTTAGTTAGTGATTGGTTTTTTTCCCCTGCCTGAGATGTGAGGTGGAGATCAGTGTACTGTGGGACTTCCGGACAAAGTAGAACTCTGCTCTTCTCACAGGGAAGGAGCAGACTTAGCTTGAAGTTAGTCCCTTCCACTTTTGTCATCATGCTGGCAGATGGCCTGAACGGTGACTTATGCAGCTTCACACTTTGTTCACCCCCACTCCAGTAACCAGCCCTTGGCTTTTCAGTTACACCAAACTAGAATTCTTCGTCTCCTCTGACTACACCCTCCATTTTCTCTCCTCTTCATTCCTTCTGCCTACCTCATTTCACCTTTAACCCCCTGTCTGTTGTTTCTGTTTCTGTGGATCAGTTCTCTTCTGGCCTCATTTTCCAGCTCACACAGCCCGCCTTACAGCCATTTAATTGTGTTCTTATCACCACTATCTTCCTTAATGTGAAAGCATGTCAGACACCAGTTTTTTTCTCTATTCCAAGTTAACCAGGGCCGGCTAAAGACAGTTATGTATCTCTCTTTTTTTCAGTTTTTTATTTAAGGCATAATTGACATAACATTGTGTTAGTTTCAAGTGTACAACCTACTGATTTGATATTGGTGTTTATTGTGAAATGATCACCATGCAAAGTCTCATTAACATTCGTCAACATACCCAGTTACAAACTTTGTTTTCTTGCGATGAGAACTTTTAAAATCTACTCTCAACAACTTTCTGTATGCAGTATAGTACTACTGTCGTCACCATGCTGTACATTATATCTGTGTGACTTAATTTGTTTTCTATCTGGAAGTTTTTACCTTTTGACCCTTTCACCCATTTCACCCATTTTGCACCCCCCCCCCCCGACCTCTGGCAACCACCAGTCTGTTCTCTGTGTCTGTGGCTTGGTTTTTTTGGTGTGTTGTGTTTTGTTTTGTTTTTAGAGTCCACATAAGTGAGATCACACAATATTTGTCTTTCTTTGAGTTATTTCACTTAGCATAATGCTGTCAAGATTGCATCGTATAAAAATGGCAAGATTTTATTCTTATGATTCATATATATTTATATATCACAATTTATCCATTTATCAGTTGATGGAAATTTAGGTTGCTTCCATGCTTTTTTTTTTTAATTTTTTTTACATTTATTTATTTTTGAGAGACAGAGCATGAGCGGGGAAGGGGAAGAGAGAGATGGAGACACAGAATCTGAAGCAGGCTCTGAGCTGTGAGCACAGAGCCAACGCAGGGCTTGAACTCATGAACCATGAAATCATGACCTGAGCCGAAGTCGGATGCTTAACAGACTGAGCCACCCAGGTGCCCCACCATTTCATTGTTTAAAAAGAAACTCATAAAAAACTTCAGTAAATTAGGAAGAGAGCTAGAAAGAGAACTTCTACAACATGATAAAGGCTGTATGTGAAAAACCCACAGTTCACATCATACTCGATGCAAGACTAAAAGCTTTTGCTCTAGAGTCAGAAGCAAGACTACCAACTGTCACCACTTCTACACTTCAATTGAACATAGACCAGCAAGTTCTAACTAGACCAATTAGACAAAAATATGTTTTAATCTAAATTGGAAAGAAAGAACTAAAACTATCTTTCCAGATGGCATGATCACAAAAAACATCTGTTAGAACCAGTAAAATGAATTCAGCAAAGTTGTAGGATGCAGCTCAGTTACATCAGCAGCAAAAACATATATGTAAACACTAATAATGAAAAATTCAGAAAGGAAGTTAAGAAAATAATTTTTATATACCAGGATCAAAAAGAATAAACTACTTAGGAATAAATTTAACAAAGAGGCAAAGACTTGCACCCTGAAAACTGCAAAACTTGTTGAGATGATAATACACCACTACCAAAAACAATCTACAGATTCAGTGCAGTCCTTATTAATATATTGTTGACATTTTTTACAGAAATAGAAAAACCTATTCTAAAATTAATATAGAATCTCAAGGGACCCTGGATAGCCAAAACAGTCTTGAAAAAGAAAAAAGTTGGAGAATTCATCTAATTATTTCAAAACTTAATATAAAGAAAACAATCAAAGTAGTGTGGTATAGACATAAGGACAGACATATAGACCAGCGGAATAGAATAGAAAGCCAAGAAATAAACCCTTCCATATGTGGTCACTTGGTTTTCTTTTTTTTTTTATTTAAAAATTTTTTTTCTTTTAATGTTTTCTTTATTTCTGGGAGAGAGAGAGACAGTGTGAGCAGGGGAGGGTCAGAGAGAGGGAGACACAGAATCTGACTGTCAGCACAGAGCCCGACGCTGGGCTCGAACTCACAAACCGTGAGATCATGACCTGAGTCAAAGTCGGACGCTTAACCAGCTGAGTCACCCAGGCGCCCCATGATTTTCAACAACAGTGTCAAAACCATTCAGGGAAGGAAAGGAAAGTCTTTTCAATATACTGTGCTAGAAAAACTGGATATCTATATCCAAACATGTATTTTTTTAAAAATTTTAATTAATGTTTATTTATTTTTGAGAGAGCGAGAGACAGACAGAGCATGAGTGGGGGAAGGTCAGAGAGAGAGGGAGACAGAGAATCTGAAGCAGGCTCCAGGCTCTGAGCTGTCAGCACAAACCTGGATGCGAGGCTTAAACCCACAGACCTTGATATCAAGACCTGAGCCAAAGTCAGAGGCTCAACCGACTTGAGCCACCCAGGCACCCCTCTAAACACATATTTTTAAAAATGGACTCAAAAAGGGTAAAAGACCTAATGTAAGGGCTAATCCTATAAAACAGGAAAATTGCCATGACTTTGGATTTGGCAGTGATTTCTTGGAATTGATACCAAAAGCTAAAGCAACAAATGAAAAAATTGATCTTTATCAAAATTAAAACTTCTGTGCATCAGAGAACACTTCTAACAGAGTGAAAAGCATCCCATAAAACGGGGAGAAAATATTTGTAAATCATATATGTATATTCAATAGGTGATTGATATCCAGGATATATAAAGAACTTATACAACTCAACAAGAAAAAACAGCTAAGCTCACAAATGGGTAAAGGACTTGAATAGATAATTTCTCCGGAGAAGATATGCAAATGGCAAAAAAGCATATGAGAAGATGCTCAATATCAAAGTCATTAGAGAAATGCAAATCAAAACCATGAGATAGTTTACCTCCATTTAGATGGCTATTACCAAAAAAAAAAAAAGAGAAAGGAAAATAAGTGTTAGGAGTCATGTGGAGAAATTGGAACTCTTGTGCATTGCTGTTAGGAATGTAAAATGGGAAGCCAGTGGTGGAAGAGTTTGGTGGTTCTTCAGAAAGTTAACCATTAAATTACCACATGATCCAGCAATTCCATTTCTAAGTAAATATCCCAAATAATTCAAAGCAAGGACTCAAGCAGATACTGGTTTACTAGTGTTCATAACAGCATTATTCACTGTAGCCAAAAATGGAAACAACCTAAATATACCTCAACAGACGAATGAATAAAGAAAATTGTGTGTGTGTATGTATATATGAAATATAACTTGGCTATGAAAAGGAATGAAGTTCTGATAAATTCTGCATATGGAGTTTTCAAAACATTATGCTAAGTGAAGTAGACACAAAAGGATGAATATTGGTAAGATTCTACTTATATGAGGTATGTAGAATGGGCAAATTCATTGAGACAGACAGAAAATAGAATAAAGGTTATGAGGAGCTAAAAGAGAAAGGAATGGGGAGTTATTGCTTAATGGACACAAAATTTGTGGTTTTGGGTAAGAAGTTTGGGAATAGTGGTGATGATTCCACAGCGTAGTGAATGTAGTTATTGCCTCTCTTAAAAATTGTTAAAATGATAATAATAATGTAAGGCAACTGTGATAAGGTCTTTTTCTTGACTAAAACAAAGATTTTAGATATCAAAATTAATGCTCAAAGTAGTGTTTCATATAGAAACTAAAGGAGATCAATATATTCTCTCTTAAACCTTGCGCCCATGTTTGTGTATTTGTAGGGTTAATGCCTTTGGGAAGTCAAGAATCTTCGGATAGTCTGGCAGCAGAGATTGTTACACCTGAAATCAGGTAAGGAGATCATGAAATTCAGTCATAATGCACAATATTCCTGGAGAAAACTTACTCCTCTACAATATAAAGAGGATCAGTTTCTTACACATTATTACTAATTTCAACATGAACTCAATATTAAATGTCCATGTTTTCAGTCTGTTAGAAGCTTTCTTCAATTGGCCCAGGAGACATTGTCCCACTTGGGTAGGACAGTATTTCACACATTCACAGCAAACTAACTTATTTGTGCTTGGGGGTTCTTAACAGACATTTAGCAGTGAAACCACTTGGCTTAAAAACAAAGGTGTGCCTACCCGACAGTCTGCAAAATAATTAGTCACTAAGATGAAATGGTCTGGGAAAGATATAGTAGAAAGATGTATCTTCCCATCTCTACTACTCTTCCCTCAATACTAACTTCTAGTTTTTATTTAGTGATAGCATTTTTAAAAAAAAAATTTTTTTTAATGTTTATTCTTAAGAGAGAGAGCGGGGAAGGGGCAGAGGGAGAGAGAGAGGGAGACACGGAATCTGAAGCAGGCTCCAAACTCTAAGCTGTCAGCACAGAGCCCAACATGGGGCTTGAACGCATGAACCGTGAGATCATGACTTGAGCCAAAGTTGGATGCCTAACTGACAGAGCCACCCAGTCGCCCCAGTGATAGCATTTTTAAACTTCTATTTCTTTCAATATATGCCTGCCTTGATGTGTAAGAATGAAAAATTAGAGGAGAGGCACCAAGTGTCTGGCAGAAGAAGAGTGATTAATCCTGAATATTGCTTTTACCTTCTTGGGGACTGTTTGCCCCCTTTTAAAATTGACAACTGGCCTTGATTATTCATAAAATCTTTGGGTGGCATTAAATGAAATAATGATTGTGTAAGGGTTTCATAAACTTTGAAAGTTACAGTTGGCATTCAGTTACTTGTCGAATAAATGAAGACAATGTTTATTTTGGCATTTATTTAAGGAGGACAAACAAAAGGAGAATGTGTGCACCAACACTGAAAGCATCTTGTATGCCTTTTACTTTTCTACCTTCTGATGCACTTTATTATTGGACCAATAAAATTTGTAGAATGAGTGATCATTTGTTATCTATGAATGCTTCTAAATACAGAGCTACATATTTAAAAAAAAAACCCACAAATTTGAGGAAGCTTTTAGATTATGCAGTTGGATTTTTAACCTGAGGAAAAGGAACAATGATAAAAATTCAACAAATAAAATGGCTTTTTTGAGTATGACTCATCATAAAGTCAAAATATATTGTCTCTAGAAGAGCGATCATCAAGAAAATGAAATGGTAAAAGAGATGAAATGTAACACTGTATTAGTTTTAGGTGTACAGCCTAATGATTTGATATATGTCTGTATTGTGAAATGATCACAGTAAGTTCAGTTAACATTCATCACCACACGTAATTACAATTCTTTTTTTTTCTTGTGGTGGTACAACCTTTCTTTTGAGCAATTTGACAGACTTGTCAAATTACTTTTCTAGGTATTAATCCTAAGGAAATCACTAATAAAGCTGATCACTGCTAACACATCAAAGCTCAAAATTGGTACAAATTCCAAATAATTGTGCATTGATTAAATAGCAATTCATCTACAGTATATTCTTTAACATGGCATTTATTCTGTTTATCACTAAAGTATAATATTTAATGGTATGAAAAGATTGTGCAAACTTAAGTATGAATAGCAGATGCAGTTCTGAGAACGTGGCTTGTTAACAAGAATACAGCTTCACATATTTATAGGAATGTGTGGACTGCATATCTTGAGGGCTTTCTTCGTTGAATATTATATCTTGACACCAGTGATTGATAGTTCAAGAGCATAGCATTAGAGGTTATGTTTTTTGATGAGAACTGAAAAACAAGCACATAAATGCACTCACAGCTATTTAAACCAAAAAGGAAATCGAATTTTGAGGTATCTTTCATTACAATCATAATGTTTGGAGATGCTGTTACATTCAGATTATCCATTATAAAAAAAAAAAAGTATTGAAGACCTGAATGTAATGTCTTAGCAAATTATAAGAGCTAAATTCTTTGCAGTATTTTATTTTTCATTTCTGTTCTATGTGTTAAATCTTAATTGTGAGTAGCTGGATTTTGGTAACAGTATTGTATCAGTGTACTACATAATCAGTTTTTTTGTTCTTTCAGGGAGAAACTTATTCGTCTTCAGCATGAGAATAAAATGTTAAAAATTAACCAAGAGGGTTCAGACAATGAAAAAATTGCCTTATTGCAGAGTCTTCTGGATGATGCAAATCTACGCAAGAATGAACTGGAGACAGAGAATAGGTAAGATTGATTGTATGTAGGCAACAGCATTTAGTCACAGGTTTTCTCTGTTATCCTTGATTTTGATTCCCTTAAACAAAAATTTGGATTGTATATTGAGTAGTGATAATGTGTTATTCCATTTCATTTTAAGAGTACTTTAATCCACTTTTCTACTTATAGATACACTTGCATAAAAGTGTTGTGCCTCTTTATAATAGCATTCTCCTCTTTATTTCTTCAAGCAAAATGATACCAACCCCCCACACTTTTCCCTTTCTAATTACTAATTAAAACCAGAGGATTTTTAAAAGTCTGATAATTAATTCAGTCTCTCACAATTTCAGTTCTATTCATTATGAGGATAATAGTTTACCCTGTTTTTTTTTATTTTTAAATTTTTATTTTATTTATTTATTTTTTTTACAAATAGTTTATTGTCAAATTAGTTTCCACGTAACACTCAGTGCTCATCCCCACAAGTGCCCTCCTCCATGCCCATCTCCCCCCTCCCCCCCATATCCATCAGTCCTCAGTTTGTTTCTCAGCATTCAAGAGTCTCTCATGGTTTGCCTCTCTCCCTTTCCCCCACCATTTCCCCCCTTTTTCTCCCCCTTGTTCCTCAGTTAAGTTCCTCCTAATCCTCCTA